TGGGGCCAGATGCTCCTCGTGAGCCTGTGTCTTCCCGCGGGCGGGAGGGTGGGGAGGTGCCTCCCGCCCGAGTCTCCGAAACAGGCCGGCTCTCTGTCTGGCCGGGGCCCAGCTGCTGGCACGGGAAGCGGGTGGCAGCGCGTCAAGTTCTCTGTCCTCCCTGTTGGAGTTCCCGTTGCTCCTCGAGGGTCAGAGCCGGGTCAGAGCCGGGCGCTCACCGAAAACACGGGAGTCCTGCTTTTTGGCTCCGGCTCCTGACAGGTCAGCTGGCTCCGGCCCGAAAAACCGCCGCCTGTGTGCTGAGCAGGCTTCCCTGGGAAGCGTGAATGGCCTTCCCTCTGCCAGGGCCTGGGGAGATGGGTGAAGGTTTCTGGTCCACGCTGTGTGACCTTGGCCATGGGGGTGGGGCAGTCGGGGGACGGTGGGTGTCAGGGTCCGAGGCAGCCTTCCCACCTGTGGGGGAAGGAAGCCTGCCCCTCAGCAGGGCGCCCTCTCTGTGTAGGGCAGGGAGGTGCAGGCCCCTTGCTGGCTGGTGGCAGTGAGTTGAGTCCGGGTTGGGGACAACAGCGGCATGGGTACAGAGACCCCGACCCAAGTCCAGGTAGTTTAACGTAGACCCATAGGGAGGGGCCAAGGGGCAGCTGTCCGTTAGACATGCCCCGAGTGTGGTGTTGCCTCCCCCCGAGATGCGAGGGGGAAAACAAACACACAGATTTCCTCGCGGTGGGACAAGAAAACCCGTCCTCACTGGAGGGAGGGGCTGGGACACGCTGGTCCTCTGGTCCTGAAAGTGAGGGTGGACTGGGTGTGGTCCAGGCAGAGGGAGCGGAGTGTCCGCCCCCGAGGGCGTGTTTCCATCGCTTTTAGGGAGAAAGGAAGGGAGAGAAAGAAGCAACGATGCGGACAGGAGCGTTTGATGGTGCGCGCCTGGACCGGGCTCCAACCTGCAGCCCTTCGGTTATGGGGCGGCGCTCCAACCAGCCGAGCCGCACTGGCCAGGGCAGGCCAGGCCGTTCTCAATTCCGACCCCGGGGGCAGTGGTCACAACCGGGCTTGCTCCAGCGTGCCGCAAGCCCTTCCTTCCCCAGTTGCCCCCCAAAACTTGATCAAGGGTGAGTTGATTTCTGCTGCGAGGGGCTGGCGGTCACAGCACTGCCCGACCCAGCAGAGGCCCCTTCCTCTGGGCAGGAGACCCAGGGCTGGGTAACGTCGGGTTGACGCCACAGAAACACCACGCTGACCGAAAGGGCATGTCAGGAACCGGCGGCCGAAGTCTGGCTCCCACACGCTGACCCGGTGAGGCCGCCGGCCGTCGGAAGGAATGCCCGGCGGCTCTGATGGGCACAGGAGACACGGCTTTCCTGGAGCTGGGATTTCATTATGGAAATGGCTGGCACCGTGTGTTTTTAAACTCTGCAAACGTGCCACCCCACACTCTAGTACTTGGTGTTTGTGCTGCGAATGTCACCAGATTGACAGCTCCTGCAGTGACAGGGTTCTGAGCTGAGGGTGGGGGGTGGGCAGGATCAGATTTGTTGCCGCAGACAGAGGAGCATTGAAAACAGGAGCTTCCCACTGGTGCTTCTTTCCTGCTGGGCACTGCCCTGCGTGCTTGCCTGTAACTCTCGGGGCATCCCTGCGGGGGCGGGGGGTGTTATCCGATTTGGCAGATGAGGAGACTGAGTCAGGGAGATGTAAGGGCGTTGCCCAAGCTGCCTGCTAGTAGTGACAGAGGCAGGACCTGAACCCGTAAGTCTGGTCTCAGAGCCCATATTCTCAGCTGGCATGTACCTATTGTACTATGAAAAACAACAACAAAAATTCTCCTAAAGGTTTTATTTATTTTTTAGAGAGAGGAAGAGAGAGGGAAAGAGAGGGGGAGAAACGTCAATGTGTGGTTGCCTCTCACGCGCCCCCTACTGGGGACCTGGCTTGCAACCCAGGTATGTGCCCTAGACTGGGAATCGAACTGGCGACCCTTTGATTCGCCGGCCGGAGCTCAACCACTGAGCCACACCAGCCAGGGAGGTTTTATTTCTTAAGTGCACGTGTCCCGAGGGCCCGACTGCTGGTCTCCCCTTGCGGCCCCGGCGTGAGAGCGGAGTAAGAACTCCGGCGGCCGGAGCCCGGGCAGGACAGGCATTCGAGGGTTTCTGCCCCTCTTTGACCGTGTCCTGGTGGAAAGGTGTGCTGCAGAAACTGTAACCAAAGGAGGCATTGTGCTTCCAGAAAAATCTCAAGCAGCAGTATGGAAAGCAACTCTAAAAGCTGTTGGATCAGGCTCCAAGGGAAAGGATGGAGAGATTCAACCAGTTGGTGTGAAAGCTGGAGATAAAGTTCTTCCAGGATATGGAGGAGCCCAGGTGGTGCTAGACGACAAGGGTTATTTCTCGTGTAGAGACGGTGCCATTCTTAGAAAGTATGTAGACCGAAGTAAGTCACTATTGAAATGGCATCGTGTGACGCAGCCTATTTATTCCTTTGACGTACTGAAATCTTTCGTCATGTAAATAATTTCCGTGTCTCTTTTATAATAAACTAGTGATATCCAAAAAAAAAATACTAAAGGACTTTATTTCTTTATTTTTCTATTTTTTAAAAGATGTTATTTCTTTATTTTTAGAGAGGGAATGGAGGGAGAAAGAGAGAGAGAAAAACATCAATGTGCTGTTGCTGGGGGTCATGGCCTGCAACCCAGGCATGTGCCCTGACTGGGAATCGAACCTGCGACATGCTTTGGTTCGCAGCCTGCACTCAATCCACTGAGCTAAGCCAGCCAGGGCCATTTCTTTATTTTTAGACAGGAGAAGGGAGGGAGAAAGAGAGGGAGAGAAACACCAGTGTGTGGTTGCCTCTCGTGCGCCCCCTACTGGGGACCTGGTCCGAAACCCGGGCATGTGTCCTGCCTGGGAATCCAATGGCGACCCTTTGGTTTGCAGGCCTGCGCTCAAATCCACGGAGCCACACCAGCCAGGACAAAAAACAAAACAAAAAAACCTTTTTAAAATATGGGGAGGAAATTAGAAGAATATTTTCTAAGAAGATTTTATTTATTTATATTTAGACACAGGGGAAGGGAAGAAGCAAGGGGGAGAAACATCAGTGTGTGGTTGCCTCTCCAGCGCCCTCTACTGGGAGCCTGGCCCTCAACCCAGGCACGTGCCCTAGACTGGGAATTGAACCCACAGCAACCCTTTGCTTTGGAGGCCAGCACACAATCCACTGAGCCACACCTGCCAGGGCTAGAAGAATAATGAGTATTTTCTCATCTTGGGATGCGAGGGATCCCCACTGGCTTTCTCTCTCTCTCCATTCCTCCCTCTTTCTCTCTCTCTCTCTCTCTCACACACACACACACACACACACACACACACACACGCGCACTTTCCTGCTGGCGGTCATGGTCAGCAGCTGTAGGCATGGAGCTGTTTCCCCCCCGAGCACCTCAGGAGGCGTTTCCAAAGAACAGGCCCCACCTTCTGCACAACGTATCGCCAGCATCACACCTAAGAAAAGGAACGGGAGTTCTGTAACCTGGGGGCGCCGGGCACTCGTGGTCTTGGTCGGCAGGAGATCGTGCAGGTGAACTGGCCGCACCTGGGGTACCCCTGTGCCCCGGAGGGCTCAGCTAAGTGCCCCCCGCCCTGCCCCAGGCCTTTGCATCCTGAGTTCAGGAGGGCGGTCTGACTCGTCCACACCTCCCCCCCCAACTGGGGGGCCTGCCCTGGGTGCTCTGTGGCTCTGTCTGCGTGGCATGAACCCATCAGCCCCTCGATAGGTCGGTCCCCTTGCGCTGTCAGAGGTAGTCGTTCGAGGCAGCTTCCTCCCTTTGTAAGGGCCGCAGCTGCCTGGGGGGGTGGCCCAGACCTGCGTGAGGCCCGGGACTGACCCAGGGCTGGGAAAGCAGGGCCGGGGGCAGGAGTCTGGGAGGTGGGTGAGGAGAAACCTCAGGGAAGGTGTTTTTGGAAGGAGGGCCCCTGCTGGGCAGGCCGTCTGGGCTGCCCCAGAGTGGGTACCACGGGAGGGAAGGTGGGCGGGGCCACCTCCTGTAAGGTGGAATTTGGGCTGCCCTGTGTCAGCAGAAGCCTCGCCAGGCCAGGGAGGCCCAAGGCCAGGGGCCAGCCAGGCAGCCTCGGTCGGAAGGCAGCTTCTGCCACTTACTAGCTGGAGACTTGAGGCAATTTACGTGGTGTCTCTGCCTCGGTTTCCTGATCTGAAAAATGGGTTGTTCAGTGGGTCAGTACGTGTAGTAAAGTGCCCAGCGTGGGGCCCGTTGTGTTCAGTAAGTGGCTGTTACCCTCAGGTGACCAGCGGTGTCCCATGTGGCCGCTGCCTTGGCTGTGTGGGCACCGGAGGGGGCCCTGCTGCCCTTGGGGCTGCTGGAGGTGGCTCTGAGCGGCAGGGGCAGGCGTCTGCTGCCCTGCGTGTGCCCAGGCGCCGGGGACAGGGGAGAGAGCAGATGCGATCGTAGCTTCCACAGCAAAGACAGGAGGAGGCTGGCAGGTTTGAGAGACACCCCATCTGCCCTGCCCTCCCCCCCCGCGCCGGAGGACTTTGCTTGGACCTCAGGCGTGAGCCGGGGCTGACCGAGGATTGCTGCAGAGCTGGCAGGCCGCGGGGAGGCGGCCTCCTGGGCCTGGGCCTGCGGGTGGGACGCTGGGGGCCGTGGGTAGGCCTGGGCCCCGGATGGGCCCCTCCCACTGGGGAGATGACCTGCCTGTTTTCCAAATCTGCAGTGAGAGTTTGGACAGGTTTAAACTCTCGTGCATTAAGACCCTCAAAACACCTGCATCTTTTATTTTTAAAAGATGTGCACACTGACCTTCGGCCCCCTCTACTTGAGACCCTAGCATGGGCGTCGGTGCTCGAGCTCCCGTGGAGGGGGAGGGGGGTGGGTGGGGGGGCGCCCTGGCAGCAGCTCCGCGTCTGCAGCCGCTTCCCTGCTGACGCAGCTCTGTCTCCGGGCGAAATCAGTGCAATTACTTGATTCAGATATTTTACTTTTGTAAAAATAGGGGGAACACAAACGAGAGCCCTGATACGGCTGAGGAAGGAAGCTCCCAGTCGGGGCTGGGGAAGCAGATGCGCAGCTCGTGGGACGTCAGACCGTCGAACAGTGTGACATGCAGGAAACGTGTCAGAACTGGGGCGAAGAGGCAGAGCGCCCACTCTTTACTCTGAGTCTCGCCCCCCCCCCCGAAGGCGGCAGTGCGCAGGGCCCTTCAGGGGCACAGCGGGTGTGCACAGGCTGGCTGCCTTTCCCCTTGGCACAGGCTGCTGGGAAGCAGAGGGCTTGCCGGTGGGGTGCGGTGGGCGCAGGGCCGGAGGTCCTCAGGGGGCCCCGAGTACGGTTTCCGGTCTGGGCAAGGAGCAGCGTGTCTGGGTCCCGCTGGGCGCGTCAGTGTGGATCGAGGTCAGGAGGCCGGCGGGGACGCACCGGGGGAGGGACTGAGTCTTCCCCAGGGGACGGGCTTGTTCTGTCCGCCAACGTGCCAACAGAGTTTGCGGACAGGAAGAAAGACGGAGAGACTGTTACTGAGTAGCTAGCGTGGGGCCAGAAGGCTATTTCTGGGCTGGGATGACGCCGCTTCCTCCCTTTGTCCACTCCCCACCTGGCCTCCTGGACCTCCTCAGCTTGCAGAGGGAGGTGGGGCATGCGGCCACTGGGGGCTCTCGGACCCTCTGAGCCTGGGAGATGGGGGCGGAATTCCCAGCTCCTCTGAGCAGCCCTGGGGGGTGACCTGGGGTGGGAGTGGGGGGGTGGCTTCTGCACAGTCACATCTGCTGGCCCCCCTGGCGCCCACCCCTCGGGTCTATAGTAGCTTCTGTGCATTTCTGTGGGTCTATAGTAGCTTCTGTGCATTTCTGTGCCGGCGGGGGCGGAGGGGGTGTCTTAAAACAACAGAAATGGTTGCTTTCGCAGCTCTGGAGGCTGGAAGTCTGCAAGGAAGGTGTCCGCAGGGCGTGCTGCCTCTGAGGGCTGTGCGGGAGGGTCCGTCCCGGGCCTCTCTCCCTGGCTTTCCTCTGCGTGTGGTGGTCTCTGTGTCCAAATTGCTCCTTTGTATGAGGACACCCGTCCAGGGATTCGGGGTCCGCCCCACTCCAGTGCGACCCCATCTTAGTGAATCCCATTTGCAACCGAGCTCTTTCCTGTGAGGCCACATTCCAAGGCCCTGGGGGTTGGGGCTTCACAGGGTGAAGCTGCTCCTTCCGGCCGGGAACAGCTCATCAGCTGTCCAGAGGAAGGCGTGGTCCACGGGGCCCCGGGGACTCTGACGTCCAGCCCTGCAGTCCCCTGGGGAGGAGACGGAGGGACCAGCCGCTGAAAGGCCCGGGCAGACGAGGACGTGCCGAGGGGTCCACTCGATGTCTGATTTGAAAAGCGCTGGCACTGGTGTGACTTTGTGTTCCTGACTCTGTCTTGCCCAGCGGTGGTGGCTCCTCTGATTGATCACCGGCTGTGGGCCGGGCCCCAGGCTGGCCCTGTCTGTGGCAGTGTGGCTTCAGCGGGCAAGGTGGGTTGTCCCTAAGGTACAGGCTGACCCCGGGCCTCAGTGGGGCAAAGGCATCCGCCCCGGGATTGGCACCTGGATGGCAGGGTCCAGGCCGAGTCTGAAGCCCGAGGTCTCAAGTGCAGAGCACGGCTGCGTCTTGCCTGCACCGCCACGCCCCTCGACCTGGGGTCTGTGCCCGCGGTGTTGCCTGTGGTTTGTATCCTCAACAGACTGTGCCCCCCAGGGCCCATCTCTCTTAAGCCTGCCTCCCTCCCCGCGAGGAGAACAAAAGCCTGGGTGCACAGTTCATGCTCAGCAAAGATATTCCCTCACTCCCTCACTCCCTCACAGAGAATCATCATACACCTGTGAGCCCAGCCGAGGTCCAGAGGGGAGCAGGAAACAGCAGAAAAATATCCGAGAGTGATGAGTGTTAGGTGACCGTGGTGATGGAGAGTGGCCGGGCACTCAGCTGGTGCCGGAGGGGGTTCGGATGAGCTGAAGCACCCGCCAGCGCGGAGGCTCGGTGGCTGACGGGGGTGGGGAGGGGGCGAGTTCCAGGCGGTGAGCTCCAAGAGGCGAGGTGCCCGGGGCGCTCAAAGCTGGAAAGGAGCTTGGTGTGGCTCCGTGCCAAGCGGACACTGGAGGCGGGAGGCTGGGAAGTGCCCAGGTCACTTCCGGATTGGCAGTGGGCGCTTGGGGCGGGGAGGGTGGCGGCTCGCCCTGGCTGTACAAAGGAGGGGGTGTACAGAGTAGACTTCGGACACACCGAGGAGGTGGAGCCAACGGCACTGACCGCGGATTGGGTGGATTGGGTGTGGGGGCGTGGTGAGCAGGAGGGAATGGAGGATCTCACCTGGAAGGTTCCTGGCTGTGCGTTACTTAAGACGGAGAACATGGTGTGAGTGATTTGGGGGATGGAATTTGGAGGTTCGCTGCTGCTGCTGCTGCATCAAACCGTCTTGGTGGGCAGCTCCCGACACTTTAATAAAGACTCAAGGATCTCGTAGGCCTGCAGCGTGCGCCGCTCTGGGCAGGCTTTGGGCCAGCGGGGGCGGGGTGGGGCAGCCCCAGGGCTCCTCTGTCTTCGGGGACTGCAGACCCGCTGTCGGGGTCCCCCACTTCCGCTGCCCGCGCGGCCAGGGCTGCGGGAAGATGTTTTGCTGCCACCTTGTGGCGAGAGGAACCCGTGCGATGTCGGGGCCCATGGAGCGCAGGGACGTCCCCGCTGCAGGGAGAAGGTGAAGCCTTTCCCTGAGCTGCCCACACGCACCGCGGTGTCAGCAGGAAGCCAGCCCTCCCCATGTCCGAGAAGGCCGCCCGCAGCTCCGTGTGGGTTGTGCGGCCTCAGCTGGGCGCACCTCACCTTATCAACGATCGTCCAGCAAATATGTGAGTGGAGACACTAGTGCAGGTTCTGCCGGATTCCTGGGCCCGAGGCCTCCTTCGCTCTGCTCCGGACCAGCGTTCTGTTCCCGCGGCGCCTACGCCGCACGGCAGGTCTTTTCCCCCTGAGCTGCCCCTGTGCGGTCAGCAGTGCATTCCTGCTGTCCCCAGACACACAGCGACACGCCACGGGCAGGATGGCTTTGGCCGCGGCACCCCGCTGTGTGCGCATCTAGACTAGAGTCTTCCGAGGTGCCGGCACTCAGAGCCGAGGGGCTGCGCGGTGCTCCCGGGCACGCGGGTCCATCCTCATCCGACGCGCATGCGCCGCAGGCTTTTTGAGATGTTGCATCTGAGCCCCTCAGGAAGGTCCGTGGCGACTCTCGCCTCCAAGCGAGGGGTTTAGTTTGGTGATTCTGATGGCCGACCGCGGACACGAAGGCTGGTTCGAGGACCGTCTGTCCTGTTTGCGAGGTCCCGGCTCGGAGCTCTGCGGGGCTGCCCCCCTTTTCTCCGCGTTGTGTTGAGCGGAACCGTGTCCGCTGCTTCTCTTCGCAGCAGAATCGCATCAGGCAGAACAGAGACCCCGTCCCTGCCTGGGGCCGATGCGAACGAGGCAGCGCTGTGTGCCTGCCCTGTGCTCCTCTCCTGGCTCCATGTCCCGGGACTTTGACGGGTGTGTGGGCCGGGGCCCTCCTCTGCTCGTTCCTGCCCCGGGGGAGTGGTTTCTGGGACGCAGGGGTGGGAAGGAGGCAGCTGGCCGAGGAAGAGGAAGCTATCGGGGTTTGGGGACAGGCCAGTGTGCCTGGGCCGACCCCGCAGTGGGAGTGGGAGCTCGGAGCTGGATGTCCTCTGAGAACGGGAGATGTCCTTCCATACTGGGGCCAGGCACTCCCGCCTGTCTTCTGTGCACCAGCGTGGGTGGGTGGGGGCTTCCCCCCTCCAATCCCGTCCTGCCGCCCCCACCCAGAGAGCCCGTTGGTGTCCCTTCCTGGGCACCTCGTTCCCGATCCCCCTCCGTCCCGGAGGGCTCCCAGAGTGCCGTCCTGGGCTTGCGTTTTCGCTGGCTGGGCGGGGGAAGGGTTTGCGATGAGCACCCTTCTTCTCCGGGGGAGGGGTGAGTCCCCGCGTGTGAGAGACACAGACACACAGATGTGCCGACGGGGAACCGGAGTGTGGGAGTTTTACACTCGGAACTGTGAGTCAGGATTCCCGGGTCGAGTTTCCGTCTCCGTGCCTGGAGGTGCTTGGGAAAGGCCCTTCAGCCGCAACATCTGGTGCGTGGAGACCGCGAGCAGGGGGAGGACGACGCCGGGGCGTTGTTTCACCCCCAGGGTCTCCCCGGCGATCCAGCCCGGGACTTGGCAGCACCGAGGTCGGAGAGGCCCTGCCTTCCTCAGGCATTCCCCCACTCCAGCCCCCTCTGGAATGTGCCGCCTTCCCCTTGCGCTTTGGGTCTGACCAGGAGCTTGGGATTCTGCAGCTGAGAGGGAAGCCGGGAGTGGGGTTGGACTGGGAGTGGAGGAAACCTGGGGCATTATGTCTTTAAAGGGAAATGCAAGCCCCTCATCCTGGCCGCTACCAGAACTGGTTTCTCCTGATCTGCCCAGGGTCCTTGTGGATCGGGGAGAACTGGGCCTGGCTCCCGTCCAGGGCCTTGGGGGAGAACCCGGCATTTAATGAGTGTCTGGCGCGGCCCACACTGGGGAAATTCAAAGGGGCTTGGAGAGAGCGAGCGCCAGGCTCCAGCCGGTACCACGAGCTGACACTTCACCTCCGCTCGGCCGGCCAGTCAGCCTCTGGACGCCTCCGCACAGGAGGGGAGACCCAGGAGCAGCAGTCCAGAGACCTCGGGGACTCCTAAGTTGAGTCTCTTATGCAGAACTGTAGGGTCCAGGTCCAGAGGTTGGTTACCTGTGGCTTTTCCACTGCCCAGAGCAAGGCCAACGCTTGACCCGGTCTAGATGACTTAATACTCAAGGGAGAAAGCCTCTGTCGCTGACAGAACAGCCGGCTCCCCTGCAGCAGCGCCCAGCAACTCCCGTTCTCCAGTGTCCCAGCCTCAGGGCGTCTGAGCCCCAACAGAACTGAGATAGGACCACCCTGTCTGGGCTTCCCACTTTACAGATCAGGAGACTGAGGCCCAGAGAGGGCGAATGACTTACCTTCTGACCCCTAGTTTACACTTTTACTAAGTCCCGCCCTGGGTTTCACCTTCAGGCCCTTCCTTTGGAGAGAGCCCACTCCTGTCCCAAGCCGGCCCCAGTGTGTGGGGTGCTGAGAACTGTTATTTATTTGGCCTGCTCTTAATGGCAGCGCCTCACCTACCTGCCCCGATCCAAGGAGGAGCCCTGGGCTGGAATTTCCTGTTTTCTGAGGGTTCCAGGGGCTGCCCCAGCAGGCTGGTTCCCTGGCGCCGCCGTTCCTGGGTGTTCCAGGCCAGGCTTGCCGCCTCTCTCTCCGTGCTGGGCTGACTCCCGGCCTCTCCAGGTCTGGGCTTGCCCCTGCGCGGTGGAGGAGTTGTGAGACTCAGTCGAGCGACGCTAGGTGCCCAGAGGCCCAGAGGCCGGAGGTCCGTGCGCTCCGGCCGCGACCCCGGCCTGGGCCCCGCCCCGCGCCCCTCGCCATGGGCCTGGCCCTTGCCCGCGGGCCCTGACCATGGAGCAGGGCTGGCCGCCGGGGGACACTTACAGCCGGGAGCGGCCCGCCGTATGCCGCCGCGCCCTCAGCGTCTGCGACTCACTGGACCTGCAAGGCGCCCCGGCCAGCCGCGCCGCCCCCGCCCTGCAGGCTGCCTTGTACGCGGGGCGCGAGCAGACGGCGAGGCCGCGGAGCGTGTGTTCGGGAGGCCCAGCGCCCCCGCCCACCGGCGCCCGCAGCCTGCTGCTTGGCTTCCTGCGCCCGCGCCTCGGCCGCCGGGGCCCGTCCGACGGCCGCCCACCGGCCCCCGGGCCTGCGCCCTCGGAGCGCCTGGGCTCTGCCGCGCCCAGCCCCGTGCCCAGCCCCGCGCCGGCCCGGCGCAGCCACTCCCGGGGCAGCCAGGCGCCGCGGCCACGGCCCACCAGCATGACGTTCCTGGAGGTGAACCGCCTGGAGCTGGCCGAGGCCGAGGCTGCGGGCGCCGGGCTGGGCCGCGCCGGCAGCGCCGGCTTCCTGCGGGGCGCCTCGCTGTGGAGCAGTCAGCGCTGGCAGGTGCTGCGCGGCGGCAGCGGGCGCGCCACCCCGAGCCCCCGGCGCGGCCTGTCGGCTCTGAGGAAGAGCTTCAGCTTCCGCCTCCGCCGCGGCCAGGAGATCAGACGCTCGGAGTCCGGGCTGCTGCCCCGGGTGCGCACCCGCAGCGACGGCGACGCCAGCTCCCTAGGCGCCTTCCCCAGCCGCCGCGACCTGCTGCTGGGCGCCGAGGCCCCGCGCGGTGCCCCCGAGCCCGGCCGACCCCGCTCCGCCGCCGGCCTCTGGAAGCTGCTCACCAGCCGCTTCCGCCGGAGGGACCCCCCGCCGGAGCCCCCACCCGCGGAGCCGCTGTGGAGCCGCCGGGCGGCCATGGCCCCTGGGCCCCTGGGTGCGCCAAGCGGTAAGGGGACGTGTCTGGCCTGGGGATCCCTTTCTGGTTGGAATCTGCGCTGGGAGCAGGCGGGGAACCTGGAACCTACCTGGGAGAGGTGGGCGTGCCGTGCGATCAGGGCACAGCAGGGCTGCCCAAGTAAGGTCGGTGAGGGTCCTGGGAGGTGGTCATTGCAGACAGAGGAGGACTTGCAGGTGGCCCCTGTGCTTGCCCCGCCCCGTGGCCTGGTGGAATGGGAGGACAGAGCTGAAGGCCTCTTTCTGGCTTTGGCCCACGCGGCACTGAGGCCTGGGGGGGCGAGGCTCCGGGCGTGGGCTGGCTCGAGGTGGGGCCACAACTTTCTAGCTCCCAGGCCGGCCTGACCCTCCTCCCTGGCTGTCTCTGCAGATGAGCTTAGGAACTGCTTGTGGGCCTGGGCCCTCCGTGGGATAACCTCTCGGGGGCAGCCTGGGGCAGGGAAGGAGGACGGCCCGGGCCAGGGCTGAGGGATGGCCACCACAGCCTAGACATAGGGAAGGTGGTGCAGGCCCTCAGAGGGCCTGGGCGGTGTGAGGCTTCCCATCCCGGGGACAGCGGCCGTGTCGCAGCAGCTGCCCTGGTTTGAGAATGGACTGAGCCGTAGGGAGCCTGGGAGGCCGGTCTCTGGGGGAGAAAGGGTGGTGGCCTCCCAACGGGGAGGAGCCGAGGGTGGAGGGCCAGTTGGGTGGGGTGGATAGCTCCCCATTGGACCAACCTCCCTGGCCCGGAACAGGGCAGGTGAGGGCTCCTCCCTCTTCACCCTGGCAGGAATGTGGTGGGTGGCTCCACCCTGCACAGGGCAGCTGTCCCTACTTGCTGTAGGAGGTTGGCGCCCCAGCTGCCAAATGCCCAGCCTGGCCTGGGACTGGGCCGAGACCTGCTGGGGCTGCCTCTTGCCCGGGTCTGTTGTCGGGGCCCAGGGGGTGCCAGGCCAGGTCTGGCTCAGGTGGGCCCCTCGGCTTACCTCGCTGGAGCAGTGAGAGGAGGAGGGCTCCAGTCCAGGCCAGGGGGACGAACCTGTGTGTCCCTTGGAGTCCTCTTCCTGGGGACCGTCTTTAGTCCGTCCTTCTCTCCTGCTGCTCCCTGGGGAAGGAGGGGTGAGGGTCGGGGTCCCCTCAGGACAGCACTGTCCTCCGGCCTTGGCCTAGGAACGGGCAGGAGAGTGTAGGAGACAGCTGGTCGCAGATAGCACAGGTGCGGGTGCCACCCAGTCCTGATAGGCAGCCTTCTATCCCGCAGACTCGTTTGTGAACAGCCAGGAGTGGACCCTGAGCCGCTCGGTGCCGGAGCTTAAAGTGGTGAGTGAGGCAGGGAGGGCCGGGCCACGGCGGGGCTGGGGCCGCCCCAGCCCGCTCTCTCCTCCGGGCCTCTCCCGGCAGCCCTCCCGCAGGCCCTCTTCCCCGCGCGCCCGCTCACGCGCTCTCATCATCGCTGGTCCTTCTCAGTCCTCGCTGTTTTTGCCTCTCCCGCCCCACCTCCTCTCTGGCGCCCTCTGACCGCCGCTGTCGCCCCCTCCTCTCCCGCAGGGCATTGTAGGGAACCTGTCTAGTGGGAAGTCGGCCCTTGTGCACCGCTACCTGACAGGGACCTATGTGCAGGAGGAGTCCCCTGAAGGTGAGCGTTCCAGGTGGGCCGCGCGCTCTCTTTCTCTCCCATCCTCTGCGCGCTGCGCACCCGCGCACGGGGCTCCAGCCCCTCTTCCCGTGCAGTCCCCGCTCAGCCCTGCGGCCTCCTCCTGGGAAGCCGTGCGCGCCTCCTCTGCGCGGCCAGGGGGCGTTCCTCCCCGCTGCGGGCCTGACCGCGCACTCTGCCTTAGGGGGTCGGTTTAAGAAGGAGATTGTGGTGGATGGCCAGAGTTACCTGCTGCTGATCCGGGATGAAGGAGGCCCGCCTGAGCTCCAGGTGAGGCTCCCGCCCAGCCCCGGCCCGTGGTGTGCGTGGGGAGAGGGGTGCGGAGTTGGCCCGGGACCTGGCGAGGCCGGTCATTGTGCGCGGTTCCCCCTAGTTTGCCGCCTGGGTGGACGCGGTGGTGTTTGTGTTCAGCCTGGAGGATGAGATCAGCTTCCAGACCGTGTACAACTACTTCCTGCGCCTCTGCAGCTTCCGAAACGCCAGCGAGGTGCCCATGGTGCTGGTGGGCACGCAGGGTGAGCGGGCCTGTGGGGCTGGGTCCCCCGGTGGGCAGGTCTGAGGAAGCCCCGCCCCCTCCCGCCCTTTTCTGGCGCCACGCCCACCACATCTTCCCCAGCTACGGCCTGCCCTCCCGGTGACAACCAGTCCGCGTTTTTGAGATGAATTAGCCCAGGGGCTGGCTCGCTCTCACTCCGTGAGTTGGTGGCAGAGCTAGGACAAGGCCGGACGCCCGCGTCCTCCGGCTCACTGCCCTCTGCCCGGAGGGCCTCCCGCGCGGCGCCCGCACTGTTGTCACCGCTCGGCCGGCAGCGCCAACCACCCCCTCCCGCCCCCACAGACGCCATCAGTGCCGCCAACCCCCGGGTCATCGACGACAGCAGGGCCCGCAAGCTGTCCACAGACCTGAAGCGCTGCACCTACTACGAGACGTGCGCGACCTACGGGCTCAACGTGGAGCGCGTCTTCCAGGACGGTAACTCGGGTGCCAGGCGGGCCCTGCGGCGAGCGGAGCTGTGTGCTCTGGAGGGGGGCGGGGGGGGGGGCTCCGAGCCGGGCCATCTCCCTCCTCCCCAGAAGGGTAACTGACTGTGCTGTCCCCTGCAGTGGCCCAGAAGGTAGTGGCCTTGCGGAAGAAGCAGCAGCTGGCCATCGGGCCCTGCAAGTCACTGCCCAACTCCCCCAGCCACTCGGCAGTGTCCGCCGCCTCCATCCCGGCTGTGCACATCAACCAGGTGCGGCCCGCCTCCCCGCTCCCCGTGTGCGCGCGCGCGCGCCCGCCCGCCCGCCTCAGCCCCGCCTCTCCATACTGTCTGTCTGCCTGCGTGTGCCCCCTCATCTGGTCTCACGCCTTGCGGACGGTTCGAAAGCCCTGGCTCCAGTTTCATGCAGCCTGCGCGGCCGGCCTGGCCTCATCCGCAGCCCTGTGGTGACTCCTTGCTAGCGCCCACCCTGCTCGCCACCCACCCCCCGCCCTGCAGCCCCCTGCAGCTGAGGCGGCAGAACATCCGCTCTGGTCCGTGCTGGCCGGGCTGTGTCAGGAGCCGCTGCCCATGGAGCGGACTCAGGAGGCATAGGGGCGTTCTCGGAGGCCCGCAGGGGACCGGCCCCTGGCGATCAGGGCAGCGTGGGCAGGTCCCCCGCCTGTCGGCGGCCCGTCAGTGTTTGCGTTCAGGAGGGACCAGTGGCTTTTGTGCCGTGTGGGGTATCAGGGCGCCTCTGAGCCTGGGCCTGCCAGCACTGCCCCCATAGTTGCACCGGGACACCCCTCCAGTTCCTGGCCTAGCGCCTGGCTATTTCTCAGCACTGGGACCGGAGTGTCCTGCTGTAAGTGCAGCTCCCCGCTCTGTCCCCTGCTCGGCAGGGAGCCCCGGGCTGCCCCAGGGGCACCGGCTGGCGTGGCCTGTGGCCCGGCGGATGGCCACCCCTTCCCTTCTGCCCACCCTGGCTGTCGCTTCCTGTCGACGGCCTCGCCGCTTTTTCAGAGACACCTCCCCTTGGCGTTGTAGAAGGCAGCCAGGTGTGCCCCGTAAGTGTCCTGGGTGGGGAGGAAAAGGAGGGGCGTAAACACAGGCCTTCTTTCGCCGCCTCTGGGCAGCTCCGCCCTCCCGGGCCGGGCCCTGCTGACGGCCGGGGCCCAGCTCCTTCGCTGCTCGTGCAGGTTAGGGTCCGCGTGTGTGTTCCGATCCCTGGGCTGGGCGCTGGCACGCGCCCTCTGTCCCCATCCCGCCATCCTGTCTTTCCTGCCTTTGCCAGCTCTGTCCCTTTCTGCTACCGCCTCTGACAGTGGACAGGCCTCGGCGGTCCCGTGTCCCTTCCCCAGTCACACACGTGCCCCGTGTGGGCTAACCTCATCCTCCCCTGCCCCTGAGCCCCGCACCAGCCTCTTACATCCTTGACATACGTCACTGACTTCGGGGTGCCCCGCCAGTGGGACCTGCTGCCCCACCCCACACCCACCTGTGAGCCAAGACCCCACAGTCCCCCTCCAGCTTCCGCCGCTGATTCTGACTTGTTGGCTGTCGCCTCCGTGAGCTCCCTGGTGGGCACGGCTGGCAGCCCTGTGCAGTGGCCGCTGATTGCACCGGCCTCCAGGCCTTGCTGCCTGTCCCCTCGGCCCCGTCTTTAGGAGCGAGTGGCCCCTCTGCTGCCCCAGGAGCCCCCGGCCAGGCACCCCCGCCCCCGAGCCGCCCTCAGCAGCCCTCTCTGTCCGTAGGCCACGAATGGTGGCGGCAGCGCCTTCGGCGACTACTCGTCCTCAGTCCCCTCCACCCCCAGCGCCAGCCAGCGGGAGCTGCGCATCGAGACCATCGCCGCCGCCTCCACCCCCACACCCATCCGCAAGCAGTCCAAGCGGCGTTCCAACATCTTCACGGTATGTGCCCGTGCCCGCCCCGCCACCGCGCCGCCGCCCGGCAGGCAGGGCCACCTGCGGTCCCCATCCACGCAGACGCCCAGCGCTCAGTAGGCTCCCCCGGTGCCCGGGCCCACAGCCAGGCTCTTCCTCCGAGCCCGCCGCCGCGGCCCTCAGCACATCCACACGGCCCAGCTGCCCCGCTGCACACGCCCCCCCCCCCAGCCCCCTACCCCCCAGGGCATCCTGCCAGCGTGAGGGATCTTTGGAGGCATCTGCGCTCGCCGCCCCGGCTCCCGGCACTTGGGAGCCGCGCATCGACACACAGTGCTAGCGGACAGAGTGCTAGCGGCAGAGGGGGACCAGGGCCCAGGCCTCCCGTCCACACTCCGCTCTTTCCCGTCACCCCTCGCTTCCTCCCCCGCACTCAGGGGTCGGTCTCAGAAAGCCTTAGGCGCCTTCTCCAGGCCTGCGGCCGGTGCCTTGCCACCCCGCCTTCGAGCCCCAGGGGCCAGCTCTCCCCCTTTCCCCACAGAACCTCACGCCCGGGGCCGTGTGCCTCCCACCGCTCGGGGCCCCGCCCCTGAGCTCGTAGGTGTCCCGAGCCTCCCGCTTGTCATGCCCAGCATCTGGCCTCTGACACACGGTGTCCACCCCCCAAATGCTCCCCTTCCAGCTGGGACTTGGCTGGACCCTTCCAGGATCTTGGGTCACAGGTGGGTGAGCTGTCACGTGGATTCTCAGGAGATCACCCCGTCCTTCTGCGTCACTCCATGCGCCTCTTGCGGGCCACCGGGCCGGGCCCTCGGCCTGGCCTCGTGTGCTGCCCTCCCGGCCGGGCCCCGGCCAGGCTCTCAGGAACCAGCCCAGCAGAGCCAGCGCTCCCAGGCCTCGCCCCCTCATTCTCGCCTCCGCCCCGCCCCGCACACTTCTGCCCGGTCTGCCTGCTTCTGTCCCCCGTGCCTGCCGCGCGCTCCCTCCGTGTCCGTGCCGACCGACCCTCTCTCTGCCGACCGCCGCTGCCATGCCTTGCACTCCCCACTCCTGACCCCGCCTAGACTCGAAGCTTCTTGTTTCTTTCTGCTCACGCCCCTTGAGACTCACAGGGCCTTGGGCTGCCTGCTTGTGCCCGCACCTCCTGCTTCTGCTGCTGCTGCCGCTGCCGCTGCCGAGCCCTTGGGTGCCCATGTGTGTGGTGACCGCCGTCCGTGCCCTCCGCACCTGCTCCCTGACACCCTGCCTCCGTCACCTGCCCCCTCGACGCCATTCTTGACCTCCCGCCTTCCTCTGCTGCTTGTCCCGCACCGCCCCCCCCGGCACGCTGTCCCCCTCCGTCCACACCATGCTCAGCCCCCCGGCCTCCTCGCCGTGGCCCCCCGTGCTCCCTGCCCCGCGCCCTCTGCTGCCTGCTGCGCTTGTGCCGCGCCGCCTGCCGCCCTCCTGCGGGCCCTGCCATCCGCTCCATCTTCACGGTGGCGACCTTATTTTTTCCTTCCATTGTTTCCATGGTGACCTCACTTGCGCCATCGGCCTCGAGACGTGTCTCCCGTCTCTAAGGGTGCATCTCGGGACCTCCCCTCTCACCCCTCTCACCCCTCTCATCCTCACTGTTGGGGCCACCCCCATCTCCCTCATCGCCCGCCCGATGGAGGCACGCCTGCTCTGGGGCTGGCGCCCTCGTGGCCCTCCCACTGACGTGGCCGTGGGCGTCCCCAGCCGCCCCCATGACGTCATGTGCTCATTTTGTTGCCACTCTTGCTGCGGTTCCTGCCATGGGGGTGTGCCCCTCGGGGCTCCCGGGGATCCTCTGGTGATGGGGGGCCCTTTGGCTCCCCAGTCTGCCTGGGGCAGGCTGCACCCCACCCCTCCCTGCAGAAGTCCCGCCCACCCACCTTCCTCCTCCCCAGGCCGGAGGGGCAGAGGCTGTGGTGCCCAGTGGAGACCCGGGGCAGGCGCTGCCGGCGGAGCCGCGGGCCGGGGCCCTGGGCCCAGTGCTCCCGGCTCCTCGGCTGAGGTCCCCCCACCCCCCAAGTTGCAGTCCTTTGCCCCTTCCCCGTACCCCTGGCTCCTGGCAGCCTGGGTGAACAGGAGGGACGTGGCACCCCGAATATTCCCCACCGGCTGAGACAGACTGCCGGCCGCCCTGCCGCCTCCTCTGCCTCCTCCTCCTCCTCCTCCTCTTCCTCTTCACCCGCTGCTGCCTCTCCCCAGGCACCTGGGGCTCCGCCCTCACCAGTGCTGACCAGCTTATGCGGGGCTTGAGTATAACTTGCCAAAATCTTTATTCTTTCGATATTTGCAGATATGTGCCACTGTTTCCAACTTTTCATCAACAAAAAGGCCTTTCCAACTCCTTCCAAATTAGAAGACCAGGTGGTGACACACAGCACCTCTGGACACTGTCCCCTGTGCGGGGCCGGAGGCGGGCCGGGCCCTGGGACTGCTCTCAGATGAGACGCGGCCGCCGTGCTCCCCACTCCAGAGACCCGCGGGAACCTTTGTCACTAACCCCCACCCCCAGGGAAGGCTAGGAAGCTGGAGCCCAAGGCCGGGGGCTGCCGGGGACCAGGCCCGGCCGGACGCTGCGCCAGGCTCGCTGCATGGACAAGAAGGGAGCTCGGCCCCACGCCGGCCCGCCCGCCCGGCAACGAGGCCCCGAGGGGCGGGGCGTCCGAGGGGCGGGGCGTCCGAGCGCCCGCGGCCCAGCCGCTCCTGGGGGAGCTTTCCCGCCCCTCCCCTCCTCTGCTCCTTCCTGCATGGACTTCTGCGTTCCTGCTCCGCTCTGGACGCCAGCACCGCCGCGCGCTTGCCTTTCCCCCTCTTGGCCTCCCCGTTTCCTAGGATCCGCGTGGGGGCGGCTCTGCCCCGGGAGCCTGGCAGGGGCCCGGGGCCTTTCCTGGCCCCTCTCCTCTCTCTCTCCGTCCACTGCGCCCCTCGGGCCGCGCCGCTGTGGTGTCTGTGCCGCCGGCGGGCCGCCCGCCCGCGCGCTTCCGGGCCCGGCCGTCCCCGGTTGTCGTGCCCCGTGCTCCCGGCCGTCCCTCCGTCCCACTGTCCACCTCGCCTCGCCCCTGGCCTTCTCTTGCACCCCGGCCCCCTCGGGCTGCGCGCCTCTCACGCCCTTGGTATCTCGTGTCCTCGCTCTTCTGTAAGGGGCGGTCCCGGCTCAGTGACCTGTGCTGCTCTGTATGGTGCCGTGTGTAAGAATAAACCCATTGGAATACTCTCGGTCTCAGTTCCTTCCCGGTCCCGCCGCCCCGGCCCCGCCCCGCTGCTAGGGCCCGTCCAGGCCGAGGGAGGGCGGGTGGGCTGGGGGTTCCAGGTGGGCAGCTTGTCCCCCACCGCCGACCCCGGGCCCCTGTAATGGGCCTCTTCTTTTCTCTTCCAGTCTCGGAAGGGTGCCGACTTGGACCGGGAGAAGAAGGCCGCCGAGTGCAAGGTGGACAGCATCGGCAGTGGCCGGGCCATCCCCATTAAACAGGTCAGCACCCCCTTCCCCTGCTGCTGGAGGCGAGCCGGTACGGCCCGGGAAATGCTAGAGGGTGGTTCTTTTCCGGGCCTCTGTGACAGGGGTCCTGGTGGCAGAGGCGGACAGCTCTCCTGTCGGGCCTGAGGTTCTGCTAAGGAGGAGGAGACCCCGTGGAGGGTGGTCAGAGTGGTTACTTGCCCGTGTAACAGGCTGGCGACCCGAGCAGCCCGCGCTCCCGGCTTTGCCTGTACTGCACCTCCACCACCAGGGGGCAGCAGAGAGCCACCCGCTGGCCTCCCGCGCTCTGGGCTGGTGGTCCTGGAGTCGGGTGACCTGGAGGGCAGGGTCTGCTGTCTCTGCCAGAAGGCCGCTGGGTCTGGGCTCTCCGGCCCGGAAAAGGAAGAGAATTTGCTAGAATACCCTGAGTGCGCACTGAGGGGCAGACTGAGGGCTGGTCTTCCCCTGGGTTTTGTGGCAGCCTTATCCCTGGGAGCCTCTCTTCTTCGTGTGTAAAGAAAAAACTTGATCGAGGAGTCTCTCCCTGATTCCCTCCCGAGTCACACTGCATGGCAGGGCCGGCTGCTGGCGCCTTGGGTGCTCCCAGGCCCCCTGACGTGGGTGCCCTTGCTGGGGGAGACACTGACGGGTGGGGGCGCCCCTGTGCAGAGGTGGTGGTGTGCCGGGCCGGGCTCCAGAGCTGCTGGCTGGACGAGGCCAAGCCGGGAGGTGTCCCTCCGGAGCTTGGGCAGGAGGCTGTGTGGGGGCTGAGGTGCCCGCGAGGTTGGGGCGGTGGCCCGGCGGTCAGTCTGCTGCGCCCACGGGATGCTGGGCTTGGCAAAGACCTCCTCCGGAGCCGGGGGGTGGAGATGTCGTGTCTACGGGGCTGTGTCAGGTTCTGACCATGCAGGAGGCCGGCAGGGCCAGCGCCGCAGAGCTCCGTGTGGCCCGGGCCCCGCTGTGGTCAGGCTGGGGCCCATGAGCAGTGTGACCGGAGCTCATTGGCGAAGGGCCATGTAGAATGGACAGCCCAGCATATGTATCAGGTCCCGGGGGGCAGAACGGGGACACGGCGTGTGGCTCTCTGTCCCTTGTCTCTGCGTCCGCCCTCCCTGAGAAGTCACCGCACTCGCGTCTGGCAGGGTCAGCTCTGGTTGGGCCAGTGTGCGGGGAGGCCGGGCGGGAGGCCTGAGCGCGGCCGCGGCGGGGGCAGCCGGTCAGTCTCCTGCTGGTTCCCACAGACCTGTTGATTGATGTGTGATCGCCCGTCTCCGGGGCTGTGCAAACCCACCGCCTCCTGGCGGGGTGGGGCCGGGGCGGCAGCCGCCAGGTGGGCGGTGTGGATGTGCTCACAGAGGACTGCCTCTCCCTGCCTGGAGGACAGGTGTTTCCTGCATGTGTGCACGCACGTAAACCTTTAATAACAAGGGCGTCCCCAAGCCCTTCCTGTCTGGGGTAGAGGTGCCCGGTCATGTATCCGGGTGATGTATCTGTTGCCTGGGCCTCCATGTGGATGGAAGCAGGAGCCGTGGGGTGGGAGCGGAAGCCCGGTGCACGGGCACCTGCGGCTCTGGGCTGGGCCAGGGGTGGTCAGCGAGGTCGCCTGGGTGCTGCAGGCCCCTAACCCTCAGGGCCCCTGAGTATGCTGGGAAGGATGCTGCAGGTAGAAGCTCAGTGCAGACCTGGGCCCTGGGCCTGCCTGCCCACTGTAGGCAGGAACCTCAGACAGGGCGGAACACCAAGGGGTCACCCAGGGGCACTGGGGGGCATGCCTGCCTTTGGGGTGAAGGCGTCTCCCAGCCCATGGCCATTCCCTCTGGTCCCACCGCCCTCTGCCCAGGGCCGGCCACCCTTCTCCCGCCCGGTGTCCCGTTCTGCCGGCGCCGCTCCTTCCCCTCCCCCCTGCTCCTGCTGGGAGTGGAGATTGCATTTCAGTTGCCATTTGCATTCCCAATCAATCCGGACTCCGCAATTAAGCCGGCTGGCGGAGCTGCGAGGGAGGCGGCGGCGGGAACGGGTCCTCTGGGGGCTGTCGCCTCCGCACCGCTCCCATTCCGCCCCAGATTGCTTCCTGCTCCGCCGTGCGCAGCCGGCCGGCCGGGGAGGGAGCGGGAACCCCCGGAGCTCCGTCTCCCTCCTTGGAACGCGCGGTGCGCGCGGGGCTCGGGCGGGCGGGCCCTGGTGGCCCAGCCGGGCCTCCATCCGCCCTGGCGCCCTGCGGCCAGGGGGCGCGGGGTGGGCGGGGGCAGGGGCAGCTCCGCCCGGCGTTCCTCCCACGCTCAGGTTGCCGGCTGATCGGCGCCTCACGGCCCTCCCCGCTAACCCCAGCCCAGGTGAAGAGGGCGGGCTTGGGCGGGAAAGCGCTCCGCTCCCCGCCCGCCTCCTCCCGGTGTGCTGCTCGGAGGGGGCAGGACGGCCCTCCGTGAGACCACCCTCCGCATATGTCGGGGACACTGAGGCCCAGTCCCGGACACGACTTGTTGGATGTTAAGGGCTAGTTGGTGGCAGAAGGGGCAGCTGAGCTGGGCTTCCCTTTCTCCTGGCGGAGTCCGGGCGGGACCCAGGAGGGCGGGCCTGGTGAGTCTCAGGGTTTGAGAATGGAGGCCACTGTGGAATCTCCCAGGGAGGGGGACGTGGGGGGCAGGTGCGGAGCTGCAGGGGAGCGGAGGCCATTTCCTGGCCCTCCTGGGGGGCACCAGGGGCGTACTCGGGCCTCGCTCAGGGGAGGGGGCCCAGGCACCCACTCTTGGAGTACCAGGGACCCCAGGCACCCACTCCTGGCCGGTGAGGGGTGGGTGCCACACCCAGGACCCATCACCCCGGCTCCCGCACAGGCTGTGTTCCAGCTACCCTGTCGCAGCCTAAGGGTCCCTGTAACGCCGTGTGTCTTCAGAAGCCCCTTGTGGTGGTAGAGTCTCTCAGGCTGAGGGGGGCCCAGGACATGGACCTGCCCTCAGAATGACAGTCCCCACACCCAATCTCACACGGGGGGGGGGGCAGCAGCAGGAGGAGGGGAGGGAGGAGGGGAGGGAGAAGGGGTGGCAAGAATGTGAACGCTGTCGGAAAGTGGGAGGCTGGCTGGCTGGCTGGCGTGGAGGCCCTTCCCGCCACCTGGGCGCCTGCTTGGGGGGAGAGATCAGGCAGGAAGTCTCCGATCACCTGTTGGCCGATCTCCTCGCTCCGAGCCTCCTTTCGGACTCGGAACTCGGAGGGGAGGGGTGGTGGGATCTGGGGCCACCCCCACCTCAGGGCACGGCCATCGCTGGGGGGACCACCCACTGTCTCACCCCCGAACCTCTCTGTTTCTCATAACTTACTGATTTTTAGAGAGAGACACACGTCATTTTGTTCCACTTATCCATGCATTCATTGGCTGGGTCCTGTGTGTGCTCTGACCGGGGATTGAACCCACGATGCTGGCATATCAGGACAGCGCTCTAACCCACTGAGCTACCTGGCTGGGGCATGAATGTGTTTTTGTTTTTTTGTTTTTTTTAATTTTCAGTTACAGCTGAAATTCAATAGTCAGGGCCCGGCACAAATAACACCTCTTCTTATTACAAAATGGTAAGTATGTGATTCTGTGATGTAACAGTATCACACTCGGGCACACCATGGGACATTTTAGGAGGTGAAGTGTTCACGTTGCTGTCCATCTCACGCAAGACACTCACGTACCCCACCAGCCACACTCAGGCAGGCCTCCTGCCGGACCCTGTGTGACTTTCAGGTGGGTCGCACGGTGGTTAGACAGTTATATACCTCACAAATGTATTCCCAGCATCTCCTGGACACCGTGCATCATTATAACATTACTGACTATACTTCCTGTGCTACAGTTTTACATCTCTGCGACTATCTTTGTTAACCACTCCACCTTTTTCATCCATTCCCTCCAACATCCACCCACCTGGTGGGCACTAATTTGTTCTCTGTATCTTTGTAAGTTTGTTAGTTTATTTTTTTTAAAGATTTTACTTGTTTGTAGAAAGAGGGGAAGGGAGGGGAAAAGAGAGGGAAACGTCCATGTGTGAGAAATGACTGGTTGCCTCTCGCACACCCCCAGCCGGGGACCTGGCCCATCAACCCAGGCATGTGCCCTGGCTGGGAATCGAACTGGCAACCTTTCAGTGTATAGGCTGACTCGCAATCTACTGTGCTACACCAGCCAGGGCTGTTTGTTTACTGTCTTTTGTTAGATTCCCCGTGTAAGCGAAATCCTCACACCTGAGTCTCTTAATCCCTGCTCTGCGGTCTCAGGGCAGGGCCCGCCCTCCCTGGAGGAGAAGCCGCCACAGTGTCTGTCTCCTCCTTTTTGACACTCACCGGGATGGGCTCAGGGTGCTTCCCTGCTCTCCCAGCCGATGCCAGCCCTCATCCGTCCCTGTTTGTCCCCAGTGTCCCTGTGTGGCTGTCCCCGAGCAGGAGTTTTGTCCAGGCACCTGCAGGAGCGTGGCCTCTTCTCAGCCCTCCCGAGTGAGGGTGCAGGGGGCACACGGGGGTGATGCGGTCCTGCGGGGTCTGCCACCTGTACACCATCGTGGCCGTCCTTGTCCCCACGACTGCAGCTCCTGTGCTCACCCAAGCTCTCTCTCTCGCACGGCCTGTTGTCTGAGAGAGCGAGCCAGAGGCCGGCGAGGGTGTCTTCGGGGGCTGTCCCTGGGCGTGGGCGCCTTTCGTCTTCTGTCTTTCCGCCGTCCCGGCTGGCCGCTCCCCAGCCCGTCCACCACCAGGTGTTCCCTGGGTGTGCGCCGTGTCCCAGGCGTAGTCACGGTGCCGAGGGCGTCAGCGGAGGAAGCACACCACAGGCCTTGCTCTCGTGAGCTCTAGCCCGCCCCCAGGCGGCACGGGAAGTCCGGTCGCCAGACTCGGTGGCTGGGGACCCCCGCAGCCTGCCTTGTGGGAGTCGGGCGTCCTGGGGTTGGCGAGGGGGTTTTCTGCCCCAGTCCAGGGCCACTGTTGGCGGGTAGGAGGCCAGGGCCCTCCTGAGGCCTCTGTGCGCCCGGACAGGCCCGGGCGGGAGGAAGGGCAGGGGAGACAGCCCCCCTGGAGGGGTGGCCCTGGGGGCAGGCACCTGTCCCTGACCCAGCCTCCGTCCCCAGGGCATCCTGCTGAAGCGGAGCGGCAAGTCCCTGAACAAGGAGTGGAAGAAGAAGTACGTGACGCTCTGTGACAACGGGCTGCTCACCTACCACCCCAGCCTGCACGTGAGTCTGGCCGGGGGCCGGCCTGGGGGGTGTAGCGGAGGGGCTGACCCTGGGACCGCGGGGAAGCCGGCCTTCGTGAGCTCCAGGGGACTCTCACGCGAGCCGGGAAGGACCTCACGTTGGTGGTCTGGGACCCGCACGGACCCCAGGACCCCAAGACCCGGCCCCGGGCTGAAGGCCACACTCAAGCTCTGACCGGGGCCGAGTCTGCGGAAGAGAACTCCCCCGCGGGGACGGTGACCCGGGCCAGGCTGGTGCGGGCAGTCGGGCTCCGCGCCCCACACCCTGCTTGTTTGAGGGGCTGAGTGGGCCCCGTCTACACAGAACGGCTGAAGCGGGGGGCTGCTGGTGGGAACCAGGTGTTTTCAGGGGAGTCACACGAGTGGGGGCACCCTGGGCCCGGGGTGCCGCCGGGTCCCTGGAGAGTGGTATGGGGACCGGGACGGGTCCCCTGGGGAGGAGGAGAGTGGGGTGGCGGCGTGCGTGGGCGCCTGGCCTCCGGCCGGGGCGGGGTGGGGGTTTGCGGTGGTTGCGGAGTGAGGCTCCCCGACCCTTCCTCCTCCCCCTCCCCTCGCTGCGTGGCTCCAGCACACAGCTGTCACCAGAATCCATCTCTGTCACCACCCCACTGTGGGGCTAATGAGTTCTCCTGTGAAGCCCCTCAAGCACAGCACGTGGGCCAGCCCCACCCCCGGCCCAGAGGCCCAGGGCCGGCCTCAGAGGGCCCCTGGGCTGCCTCTGAATCCACGCGAGGCGCCGAGGAGGGCCCGGCCGAGAGGTGCTGGGGTCCGCGGCCCTGGCCAGAACCGGGTCCCGGGAGGGCCACCCAGACCGTCCCGCTGAGCTCACGTGGGGGAAGCCGGGCCCGGGGAGAGCCGGCAGGCAGCCACTTCCAGCCCGGCCAGCGCCCAGCTTGGCCCGTATTGGGTTCCTCGGGCACGGGCCCCGCTTCCCCGTGGCCTAGGGGACTGTACTGGTTGGACGGTCTGCTCCTGGCCCCCCTTGTCGCACAGGGTGGGAGCTGGTGCTGGGATACCTGGCGGTTAGAGGAGGGGCCCCACTCGGGCGACCTTGGACACTCCGTACGAAGGCTCCCCCGCCCGTGCTGTCCTCTCCCCGACTCGGGCCCCCACCTGACACTCGGACCTGGCCCCGCAGCTGAGGCCGTGACCCCACGCAGGGCCGCAGGTTCCCAGGAAAAGCGCCGACATGGAGGCGCAGGCGTCCCACAGTCGGGGGCAGCCTGTGGGTCCAGAGTCTCTCCCAGAGAGGCGTCGGAACCGCGGGACTCCCCAGCCGAGAAGGGTCCCAAGGGCCCTGCACCCGCGCCGGCTGGGGCTGAGCCCCGCCCCCGGGCAGGACGCACGTGCTGTCTGCACAGACACCATCTTGCCCGCTGGGCTGGAACCGGCGTTTCCGAAGCATCTAGTTTCCCCCACTGTGTGCGGGGTTGGGGGGCCCTTAGCCTTTCCCCTTAGCTTCGTTCCTTCTGCGTCATGCTGCTGGAGGGGGGTGCCGCGCTCCGCCCTCTGTTCTTGTCCCCAGGCCCCAGACTGTGGGGAAGGCCAGGGTGAGGGGCGGGCGGGGGGGGGGTGGTCTCAGACACAGGAGGAAGCGCAGCCCTGGGTTTGGGTCTGGGTTGGGAGGGAGGGTGCAGGCCGGACGGGGTGCTGTGTTTCCATCAACGCAGCACGCCGCGGAGCCAGTCAACAAAGACTGGGCCGTCCAAGTCACCCAGCCGGCGGCTGACCTAAGACTTGGGCCCGAGACTTTGGCTCTGAGCGTTCCCTGGGCTTCTCCGCGCTCGCCAGGAGCGCCTCGCTTCGGGGCTGGCCGAGAAAGCCGCTGGGCAGTTAGCCTCAGGGCGGGCACTGCCCAGCCTTCCCGCCGCACGAGGAGGCGGGCCAGGCTGGGTGCCTGGGCTCCTGCGAGCCTCTGGGTCCCTTCCAGCACGGCGCTCGCTGACCTGCCTGTCACTCCGGGTGTTCGGGGGCCTGGGACGGGCTCACGGGTGGCCCCGCCGGCTCGGGTCCCAGCCGTGCCCGCTCCTTGGGGAGCTTGGGCTCCCCGTCCGTCAGCCCTTCACTGCCTGCCCTTTGGCTCTGGGGTCAGAGTGCATGCCTTCCCACACACCGGATGCCAGGAGGAGCCGGCACACGCAGACGGGGGTGCAGGCACCCGCGCCCTGCAGATGCTTCTCGGCTCATTCGGAGGACATGGGTCAGGTCTGATCTGCGGCGGTGGAGGAGGCCACAGGAGGGCCACCCCGGGGCCCCCGCGTGCGGCTGTGTGCACGGGGCTGAGCTGGCTCCTAGCAGCGGCTGCTCCGCTCCGGCCGCCCCGGCCGCCCCACCTGCTTCTTGACTTCCTCCCTTGCTTGCCGCCGGGCTCGTGTGTTGCCGACTGACCTGCCTCCCTCTCTCCTTTTCCAGCGCGAGCAAGCTTCTTGCTTGCCCTCGCGTGGTGAGCAGGCACGCCGCCTCCCGGTGAGCCGCCCCTTTGGGGTGCCGTGTGCTGGGAGGACTCTTGGGAACTCCAGCGGTGTGCACGGAGCTCTCGGCCTAGCTGGCCCCCGTCCAGGGTGGCTCCGGCCTGAGACTCAGCTGCTGGTGACTCAGCTGCCAGGGGCGGTCGGCTGGGCCGGAGGGGCCCGCGGAGGGGCCTGCGGAGGAAGGGCTGGTGGGCCAGCCTCGCGCCTCGTGCTCGGTTCTCGCCTGGCCCAAGAGAGCCCGCCGCAGTCTCCCCCATTTTGCAGCCAGCGGAGCCATTCACACAATCACCTTCTGTTAATTCTATCTGCAACATCAATTAAATTGTTTGTAGAAACTAATTGAATGTGGCTTAATCACACATCTTAATAGCTTTCCACGCTCTGAACTCGTTGTTAATTCCAGTAATAAAACGAGATGAGAACGCTGGCTGGGTAATTAGCGAGGAGGCTGGGGAAGAAATTGCTGTTTGATGGTGGGTAATAAAGGCAGCCGTGGTGACCGCTCTCCTGAGCAGCCGCCGCCGCCGCCGCCGCCGCGCTCCCCGTTCTGCTGACGGAGGGAAACGCCGCGGCTCCGTCCCTGCTGCTGCCGCTCGCGCTCCTCGCCTCTCTCCTCGGGGCTGGACTCCGTCTCCTGGCGGGGTGGCCCTGGAGCTGGCCTGGCACCGGGCACAGGGCAGGACCCGTCCCTGCCCTCCTGCCAGGGTCTGGCTCCTTGGCCCCGAGTGCGGTCCCTCTGGGCAGCTCTTGGCGCAGGGTCAGCTTTGCCTGCTGCCTCCCAGCCCAAGCGTCCCAGGGCTGCCGCGGGCCCCGAGAACCGTGGCAGCTGCTGCGACCTCCTTGTGAACTAGAGCAGCCCGAGTCCCTCCCCGAGGAGAGGGGCTGCGGTCCTGGCTTTGGCCCCGCCAGCTGTTGGGGGTTGTTCGGAGCGGCCAATCCGGGACGCGGTTGTGCGCGGGGACCCGAGATGAGCGTGCGCGGGGACCCGAGATGAGCGTGCGCGGGGACCCGAGATGAGCGTGCGCGGGGACTCAGGGTGGGCGTGCGCGGGGACTCAGGGTGGGCGTGCGCGGGGACTCAGGGTGGGCGTGTGCCGCAGCCGAGTCCGGGGGACGCTGGGGCCGAGACAGCGAGGTCACACGTGGGACGCTGGGCTGGGGGCGGGACCGGGTGGGGTGGGCGGAGTGCGTGGGAGAAGGGGCAGAGGTGACGGGCACCGGGGTGCGGGGGCCGGGCAGCAGCAGGGCTCCTGGGCTGGTTTCCGTCCCGGCACTATGGGAAGGCGAGGCGCTGGGGACAGAGGCCTGGCTGCTCTCAGCAGAGTTGGGTGCGAGAGGTGTCAAAGGGGTGCTCCTGTGGGCGGAGACTGCTCAGGGCCATCCGAGTGACATCGCTCCCCGGTGCTGAGGCAGGAAGCAGACACCCTCGGGGCAGCGTGTACCGGAGGCCAGGCCCTGGGCGCCGTCCCTCACAGCGGTCTGGGTGGTGGCAGGAGAGGGTGTGTCCCTCTCAGGGGACACACACTCCCGGGAGCTCTTCTCCCGTGGCTGGCCGGGCCCTCGGTCCTTCTGGAGGGAGGCCCATCCGCCCTGCGGGTGTCAGCTGCTTGGAGAACACAAGGCCACCACAGGCACAGCCAGGCCTCCCGGGAGCTGGGCTTGGGTGGTAGGGCCGTTGTGCCGGCCTCGGTGGTACCCCTTCCTCCCCGTGGGCCTCCCACGGGTCCCCATCCCTGGTGACACCCAGCCTAACGAGGACGGGCAGGAGTGGGGCTGCCGCTGGCTGCTGTTTTCTGCTTCTCGCTCCCCCTCTCAGCCTGCTGGCCCCGTGGGGAGGGAGGGGAGGGAGGGGCCGGAGCTGCCTGGGGCTCACCTGGCAGATGTCCTCAGTCTGCAGGGACCGGCCGACCCCTTCCACCAGGCATCCTCTCGGTCGTTCCCAGAGTGATGGTGGCAGCACGTCCATCTGCTTCCTAAGCAGAGGGCACGGCCCCTCTGCCCTGGAGCCAACAGGTGTGGCGGCAGGGGCATGCCAGGGTGACGGGCAGTCCAGTAGTGCCCCAAGGTGGGCGCAGGCAGTGGGGCTCGGCCTGGGAGGACACGGAGGCTACATCTGAGACGCCGCCGTGCTGCTCAGGGACGCCCCCCGGATGCAAGACGTCGCACGGGGGGCTCTCCAGCACCGAGGAGACGATTCGGCGCCTAACCCGTGGGATCCTGCGGGCCCGGCTCCTGCCCCCAGGGACCCCAGCAGGGAGGGCTTCAGGGGAGAACGGAGTTTGCAGTCCGGGAGGGGAGCCCCGTGCAATGGGGAAAGCCGGGCGGGGGAGACCCAGGGGCAGGGTCATGGCTGTGCAGCTCCCCTGGCCATGCCCCTGCTCAGGCCAGACTGGCAACAGCGGGACAGCGGGGTCAAAGCACCCGGTGCCCCCCACTCTGGGTCTCTCCAGTGCTGGCCGGGAGGGAGGCAGGGCGGGAGAGGTCGGCCTTCGGTGCACAGCCCCACAGGCCAGAGGGGCCTGGGCCTGGGCCTGGCTCCCCCGCCTTCTGCCCGTGGGACCTGGGGCGGCCTAAGCTGTGAAAGCCTCAGTTTCGTCACCTGTGGAGTGGGTGGTGTGGAGGGCACGCGTGTGAGGTGACGTGTGGGACAGAGACACGCAGCCGCGGTGCAGTGCCCGCCTGGCTCCAGGTGGGAAGGGGGCGTGCTGGCGGTGATGGCGGTGTCACTGCTGGTGGTGGACAGGCCACCCTTACCCACTGGCGTCTCTGACGCTGTAAGGCCCGTCTCGTAATCAATCCCTCAGAACCGCAGAAGGAACCAGAGGCTCCCCTGTAACTGCTGAACGAACGCTTAGCGCTAGGCTCTGTTCTGAGGACTGGGGGCTGTCCTGGGCTCTCCGTGCTGCGGCGGTGGGGCCGTGCTCCTGCAGACGGGCTGACGTGCCTAGGGGCCAGCTGCCCAGGGCCCAGGGAGCCCAGCCGCCCACGCCCCGTGGAGTCGGTCGCCTCCTCTCTGCTGCTCGGGCCCTCTCTGCCTGAGTCCCGTCCTGGTCCAGTATGCATCCAGTGTGGTGCGTCCTGGGCCACCCCCCCAAGGGAGGCCCGAGCCCCACTCAGCTCCTGGCTCCAGACCCTTCTCTTTTCCCAGACTCTGCCCGCCCCTGGCCCAGTGCCCCCGGGCTGCGTGTGGTCAGCGTGCAGATCTGGGTATAATCCGGATCTGGGGGTACTCTGTGGGCCTCACAGTCCCGCTCTTAAACTGGAGCTCTCTGCCCTGGCTGGGGTGGCTCAGCGGATTGAGCGCTGGCCTCCGAACCAAACGGTCGCTGCCGGTTCGGTTCCCAGTCAGGGCACACGCCTGGGTTGTGGGCCAGGTCCCCAGTGGGGGGCGTGTGAGAGGCAACCACACACTGATGTTTCTCTCCTCTTGCTTCCTCCCTTCCCCTCCCTAAACATAAATAATAGAAGAAAGTCTTTGAACTTGAGCGTCCCCTCCCTACGGCGTCCCGGGCGGCTGGGCAGAGACAGACCGGGGCGTCAGGAGGGCCGGTGGGTGCTAGAGACGGGGGACCACCGAGGGGGACCTGTCCTAACGCACCGTCTGTCCCACCCGCACGGCCCGCAGGACTACATGCAGAACGTCCACGGCAAGGAGATCGACCTGCTGCGGACCACGGTGAAGGTGCCGGGGAAGCGCCTGCCCCGAGCCACGCCCGCCACGGCCCCCGGCACCAGCCCCCGGGCCAACGGGCTGGCCTCCGAGCGGAGCAGCGCGCAGCTGGGCGGGGGCACAGGTGAGGGGGCTGTGGGGGCGGGGGCGGGCACGTGGAGGGCATTGCCTCTTCCCTGGAACGCTGGGGACCGCTGCGGCGACGCCCGGGCGAGGCGTGTGGGGTCCCAACCTGCCAGCCACCCGGCCTGGGCCTCAGCGGCTCGGCCGAACACGCCGGCGGGAGTGCTGCCCCGTGGCGTTGGGGGCCGCGGCCGGTGCACAGCCCCGCTGATGATGGCTGGAGGTCAGAACGGGGCCAGGCGGCCTCATGCTGACAGGTGGCATCAGCCAGCAGTCCCGGGACCGTCTCTCGAGGCCGGTGACGGTGAGGGCAGGACCCCGTGCGCACGTGGTTGGTGTCTTGGCCCGGCGTGCCGTGTGGGGATGGAGAGGCTGGAAGGGGACAGGGCGGCCGGTGGCCTACCTGGCGTGTGTCCTCCCTCCGTCGCCGTGAGAGGTGGGGTCTTTGCTCAGAGAGCAGTGGATGTGGCGGGAAGCCGGCGGCCCGGCAGATGCCACCACGCGGCCAGCAGGCCGGAGAGGAGAGCTAGAGCCCCAGGCAGTCTGAGCTGCAGGCCGGGGCAGCTTGTCCTCGGCCAGCCCTTCCTCTTCCGAGAGACGGTGGGCTCAGGGGAGAGGCACGGTGCTCCCCTCGGGCCTCCCGGGCTCGGAGCCACGTTGCCCTTGGAGGGGTGGCTGTCCCTCCCAGGCCCAGGGCCCCAGGCCCGCCGTGGCTTCCGGACCCTTCCCCCCAAGACTTCATGTCCCTGTTGTTGTCCTCGATGACCAGGTGCGGTTTCCCCTGACCCAGAAACAGCTGCGTGGACACTGCCCTGCCCTCCCGGGTGCTGCCACTGTGCCCTGCCCCGGGGGTCGGCTCTCAGCACGGGGGCAGGCTGCTCCTGCTGGTCACAGTGGACGTTCGGTGGACAGGGGCTGGGCACTTAGTCCCTAGAACGGATGGGACAGGCCCCAGGGAAACACCCACTCAAAATGCCGACAGGCCCGGCACCGAGAAACTGGAGAGGATGGAAGGTGGGCGGGGCGAGGGCCCTGAGCCAGGCACCTGCCCTGGGGGGGTTGTTTCCAGCTAGAGGCACTGGGAGAGGTGGGGGGGGGCGGGCACTGACATCCGCGAGTGAGGGGAGCCAGGTACAGGGCAGTCTATGCCACGCCCCATTTCCCCACTCTGTGGAGTCGAGATCATCGCCCCCGTTTTATGGGTGGGGAAACAGGGCTCAGGGAGGTGACATAACTGGTCTGGAAAAGCTGCGTCCTGTCCTCCCCCACCCTGAGCTGAGAAGGCAGCCCTTGAGCTGCACAGAGGGCGGCCCTGGTGGGCACTGGAGGAAAGGGTGCTGCGGCCAGAAAGATACGGGCACCCGTCAGGGCGGGTGCCTCCCGTCCCTCGGGGGTGCGCCAGGGGAGGGTGTGGCGTGGTGGCAACCCTGGGAGGCCACGCACAGCCCCTGTGCTGTGCCTGGAGGGTGGCTCGGGGCCGCTGTGCGACCCCTGGCACGTAGGGCAGGGGCTGGAGGCCGGCCAGGGCCCCGAGAACTCTCCCAGCGCCGCTCGGGGACGATGGGGGTCAGCCTCCCGTCTGGCGTGGGGTTTCCTACATCCCACGGGGGACGCCGGGGGGTGGAGGGGGACCCGTGCCCCAAGCGGGAACCTTTCTTGGAGGCAGGCAGCGCGAGAGGCTGGACCGTTGCTGCAGAGAGAGAGGGAGACAGTAAGGCCCTCTGTCCAGTCTCATTCCCGGGCCCGCAGCCCTCACCTGGGGGGCAGGAGTGGCCCCCGGAGGAGGGAGGCACACGCCTCACACCCGCCCGCCCGCCCGCATCATCACCAGCGCCCACGCACCCTGGCCGGCGTGCCCTCCGCCGTGCGCCGACACCGGCCTCGTGCACACTCACACATGTCTCCTGCTCACCGGGCGATGTTAACATCTCATTATCTTTGTTACTGTAATTACATTATCCGCTGCTTTATGCAGAATTATCCTCCGAGGACTAATTGATGGCTCCATGTTTAATTCATTAATCATTAGCATCAAATTCGACAATTACAGTGCACACTGATTGTGGGATTGCAGGCGTAATGAGGGGAGAATTAACAAAGAAAAGGGAGAGTACTTCTCCTCCCTGGGGTTTTGGGTTGGGGGCTTGGTGAGGAAGGTGGGCCTGTGCTCTTTGGGTGGGGCCGGGGCCGAGGGAGTAGGGTTGGGGACCTGGGGGTGGAGGGGAGAAGCAAGGTGTCTGAGCGGTTAGGGACGAGCTGCCCTCCACAGGGTTCCCCGACCCTGGGAAAGGCTGTCTGCGGGGACCTGAGGCCAGAGAGGGACGGGGGCGGGGCTCTGAAGGCCCGTGGCCTAGAGGGGCCTGGCTGCAGTCTCAATGCCACATGTGTGTTACTAAGCACCTACTGTGTGCCTGGTCCTGCCTTGGTGTGACCACGAATACAAGAGAAACACGAAATGCGCCCTCCACCTTTCAGTGGTGTGCAGCCCCCAGAGGATCGGGGGGCGGGGGGGGGCCTGGCCTGTTCCCGTACCTTCTCGTGGCTTCAGTGCGGGGCTCCGCGCCCCTGGGCTTCCGGAAATGCAGCCGGTGTGCTCGCAGGGCTGGTTGGAAACGCAGTGTTTGCAGCTTGCTCTCTTCAGCTTCGTCCAGGGCAGGGCGCGGGCGCCCAGAGTCTCCGCCTCTTCACTGCCCTCCAGCCCCTGGCCAGGGCCTCCGCTTTCGGTCAGACACCTCAGGTGCAGGCTACCTGTCCTGAGACCTCCCATGGACACTGCCTCCCGGCTCAGCCCCACCCTGTCTCAGGGGGACTAAGGCGAGAGGGCGGCATTGGCCCTTTAAGTGCTATGGGCCATGGGGGCCCCTGGCCGCCCCCACGGCCTCCCCACGGCCTCCGCACTAGCACTCGGTGCCTGGGGAGGAGGCAGGAGGCTCTGCAGGGGCTCACGGCCTGGCCTGCCCGGCGTGGCGCTCCTGGAGCCCGCGGTTCCCCTCGGCTCTGCCGCTCTTCCCTGATGGGAAACGAAAGATTAATTTTTTCCAGCCCAACAGGATAATTACTAATACTAATTAGACATAATTACTGGAATTTGATACACTTATTTCTCGTCAGAGTGGCAGCAAATCTGAGGCAAAGCGAGTGCCTGTGTGGACGAGAAGGTGGGGTGCAGGGTCCCGAGCAGAAGGGCCGGGGGCCGGGGATGATGGCCCGAGGAGGGGCTGTGCAGTGACGGGGGTATCGGTACCACTCCCCCCACACTCCTGGGTCCCAGAGAGGGGACGGACACGTGCACCTTCGTGTGCATGCAGAGGGGAGGGGTGTGGCGTCTGGGAACGCCTGCCCCCTAGGGCGGGGAGGGCCCGCGTGAGGCCTCTGGTTCTCCCACAGCCTGTCCTGGTGCCTGGGACTGCAGCCCCCCTCCCCCCCCTTTTCTGGTCAGCCTCCTGTTGGCATGTCTCAAGCTGTGCCCGCAGCCCTGTGTTCTGGAAAGCCTATAGGCGCCCCCCCGCCCGTGGCCTCCCCTCCAGCCTGACCCTTCCCCCCCCAGGCGCCCCCCACTCGGCCAGCCGCCCCGAGGGGCTGCACCAGCGCTCCTGCTCCGTTTCCAGCGCGGACCAGTGGAATGAGGCGGCTGCCTGGCCCGCAGGTACGCAGGGCGGCGCCCGGGGCTGGAAGGCGGCCACGCAGGGTTTTCGGCCTGGGCGGCTGCGATTGGACGGTGCGATTGGCCTGGGGGAGGGGCCCGGCGGAGCCCTGGGGGCTGGCGCGGGGGCTCTAATGTTCCTCCAGCCTCCGCTCGTGCTTCCATCCCTCGGTCCCTTGTCAGCGGCCGGGCGCTAGAGACCCTCCCTCTGCAGCTTCTCTGCCCGCCCGCCCGCCACTGTCCCCAGGCGGCGCTGGTGGTGGCTCCCGCATCTCCATCAGCCCCCTGCGCAGCCAGCTCATCAGCCTCACCGCAGGGGGACGGGGAAGCGGGGCTGAGTAGGGAGGTCGAAGGCTGGGGGCTCTAAACACGTTCCGAAGGCGGTGGCGGCAACTCGCCCGCAGGGAGAGGGGTCCCAGCAGACAGGCTCCAGGGGGCGGTCTGCAGAGGCCGTGTCCGCACCCCTGCGGGCCTCTCCCCTCGGCGGGTCGAGGCCCCGCCCTGTCTAAAACCACGGCCTTCTCTCCCCCCTCCCACCCTTCTCTCTCCCCGGCTCTCCTTCATTTTCTCTCCCCTTTGTCCATTTTTGCACCTTGCTCGCATCCCGACTCCCCCGCCCCTTACTCCCACTCCTGCCCCTTCGGCCGGTGCCGGCACGCGGTCCTGCGCATGCCCCTCTCCTCCCTCCTTACTCGCACCCGACCCCTGGCCCTTGGGCACAGGTCCTGGGAGTTCTGAAGGCTAAGAGGAAAGTGGGTGCGGCTCTGCCCTCCTTTCCTAAGTGAGGGCGTAAGCGGGGAGAGACCGCAGGGTTCTAGGAGCTGGGCTTCAGCATCCCAGGCAAACCTGCCCCTCCCACTGCCCCCCACTGGGCAGCAGTGCCTGGACATGAACTTTTCTTCCTCTATTCGTCTCCCAAAGGCCTTTCGCAGGGTCACCCAGGCCAGACTGCCCACCCCAAAGAAGTCCTGCGCCCCGCCCCACCCCCAGCCTGAGCTGTGACGCGGGCAGGTGCCGGGCACTCACTGCACAGGGAACCCGTCCAGCTCCTGACCCAAGTCCAGCCCCCCGGGGAGTGGGTGTACAGGGCTGGAGATCGGGGTCCGGGGCCCGCCCCAGGTCACCGCCCCTCGGGCCGTGCTGGCCCTGGCGGGGCCCCTCTGTTGAGTCTGGAAGGAGGCAGGCAGGGAGGGAGGGAGCGTGTCTGCCGCTAATGAAGTTTGACATTTAGTGGTGAGCGCTGGGTGGGGTGTGGGAGACGGGAGCTTGATTAGCGCGCTCTAATTGACAGTAATTAGGCAGCTCCCTGATTGTTTCTAATTCTGCTATTAATTGTGAGGAGCGGGGAGTGTGATTGAGGATAAATTTGGTGCGGAGCTTCTGGGGCTTCAGCTCCCCGCGAGTTGGTTCCCTGGGCCACCGTCTGCCCCTCTGGGCTGCAGGAGCCGGCGTCCCCCCTCTTCCTCCTCCTCCTCCTCCTCTTCCTCCTGCTCTGCCCCACCTTCCCGCACTCTCCTCTCCTCTCCCCACCTCCTCCCCCAGCGAGGCCGGCAGGCCCCGGGGCTGGGGCTGGGGCTGGGGCTGGCGGCAGAGGCTCCCCTAGGGGTGTTAGGCAGGACCTGCGCCCTGCCCCCACCCTCCTCTCTGCCCACACGTCTCCGCCTCTCCCCTCCCCAGCCAGTGGCTCAGCTGAGGTGCTCAGTTCCAGCCCCAAGCTGGAGCCCCCCCCATCTCCCCACTCCAACCGGAAGAAGCACCGGAGGAAAAAGAGCACCGGGACCCCCCGACCAGACGGCCCCAGCAGTGCTGCCGAAGGTTAGGGGGACCCAGAGGGAACCCGGGCACAGGAGGGGGCAGTGGGACTTGGGGACAGTGGCCTCAAAGCATTACATGAAGGGCTTTTAGAAACAGTTGTCAGTAAAAGTAGTTCCGCAACTTCTTTGGCAATCTAGACCCAGCGCCTTGGGAAAGCCCTCTTTCCCTGCCCAGCTCAAACCCTGCCCGCGACGAAGTGAGCTTGCTCCTTCTAGTCTCACAGAAGGTAAAGGCACAGAGGCGGCCCCTCCAGAGCTCTTCCCAGACTTGCGGGAGAGCAGGACTCTGTTTTCTGTGTCTCTTGTATCACCATTGAGTTTAATGGGTGCCGGGCACACAATAGGTGCTTCATTCGTGCGTACCGATGGGCCGAGCCTCCCCTCAGCCACCCGTAGGCCGAGGGGCTCCAGCTGCGTGCTCTCGCGTAGCCTCATCCATCCGAGCGCCGCTTCTCCGGTTTTCCCGCAAGTGTCTTCAGAACGTTCCTCTGCTCGGTGGTTGGAGTCTCTGGTGTGGACACCTAGTTGGTCACTGCTGTTCTGACTGTCAGGGTTACGGCTGCGGGAGGTGGGCGGAGGCCACCTCCGTGGGAAAGAGCCACCTTTCCCTGCCACCCTGTGATGCCGTGATACTCCGTGTTCTTGGCACGGGGTCCACCCGTCCCGGGGAACTGAGCCCCAAGTGATGGCGATGAGGTCATTCAGAGGCTGTGCTGAGAGCCAGGGGAGGTGGAACTGTGAGCCTGAGGAGGGAAGCGGTGCCAGTTTCCTCCTTCTGGGAGGGCAGTTCTGTTGAGGGCACCCTGAGGATGGGAGCCCAGTCGGGGGACTTCCGGGGGATGTCGGTGTCACTGGCGTGAGAGGCTGCCCTGGGTGGAACCCGGGGCTCAGGCCTGCCTCGGGCGCAGCCTTGGGCCTCCAACAGGTACCTGGGCTGTCTCCCCTGCGCCCACGGCACAGTCACACCGCTCATTAGGAGCCGCTCACCCGTGGGGCGGTGACCACTGGGAGTGGGAGTCCGGTGGCTGTCTTCTGGGGGAGCGGGGCTCGGGACGGCTTGACCACGGTGCCTGGGGCCCCAGCCCAGCCCACAGTGCTGCCACTGCAGAAGTCCCCAGGTGCCTCTCGGCTCACACACCCCAGTGCGTGGAGAAAACCTCTCCTCTCCCCATCCCTTGCCCTTCCCGCCTGTCTGTGCCAGGGTAGTGGGGGAGGGGCCCGGCTCCCAGGAGCCCCACGCTGACGCCGTCAGGAATATTGGGTTTAATGAGCTGCAAAATGAGGCGGCTGCAGCTGACATGTACGGATGGTGCCCACGCCCGCCTCCCCCACCCTCTCCCAGCATCGCCTCCTAGCACCCCATCGCATCCTCCAGGCTCTCAGCTCTTCTTGCTCCAGGAGGCTCCCTGGTTCCCAGGCCCAGGGCTGGCAGTGCCGGTGGCGCCGAAACCTCGCGCCCTGTCTGTCGTCCCTGAGGCTCCACAGGTGGTTAGGAACGGCAGGGCGAGGCCCCACGCTATCGCAGGGTCACTCCCTCCGCCCTTGCAAGTTGCCCTGGAGGGCGTGGCCCGGAGGCTGGTGTGGGGGAAGGAGGATGGGGGAAGGAGGATGGGTGCCAGGAAAGTGGGGGTGAGTGGAGCTGTGACAGTGGCGTGTCTGGGGGTGCCTGCCAAGGAGCCTGCGGTGACGGTGGCCGACGCTCTGTCCCCCACAGAGGCGGAGGAGTCCTTTGAGTTTGTGGTGGTGTCCCTCACCGGGCAGACGTGGCACTTCGAGGCCTCGACGGCAGAGGAGCGGGAGCTGTGGGTGCAGAGCGTGCAAGCCCAGATCCTCGCCAGCCTGCAGGGCTGCCGCAGCGCCAAGGACAAGGTTAGCATGGGGACCTGAGCGGGGTGGGACCCAGAGGTGGCCTCATGGCTGACTGGCCACCGCCTGTCTCTCCCACTGTGTGGCAGACTCGGCTGGGGAACCAGAACACGGCTCTGGCCGTGCAGGCCGTCCGCACCGTGCGTGGCAACAGCTTCTGTATCGACTGTGACGCCCCCAGTGAGTGGCAGGGCTGGGGTGCGCAGGGCCAAGCTTGGGGGCAGCTTAGAGAAGACTCCACGCACTTTGTAGAGGAAGCCTGACGAGGAGCTTCCGGGGGGCCTGGGAAGAGTGCGGGGGTGGGGGGGGAGGAAGGGGAGGAGGAGGAAGCGGTGGACTCTGCTGCTGGTCTCGCTGGGGGCCCGGGAGCTTCACCGTGCTGCTTCTCCTCCTCGCTCAGATCCAGACTGGGCCAGCCTGAACCTGGGTGCCCTGATGTGCATCGAGTGCTCGGGGACCCACCGACATCTGGGGGCCCACCTGTCCCGGGTCCGTTCCCTTGACCTCGACGACTGGCCGCCCGAGCTGCTGGCCGTCATGACCGCCATGGGCAACGCCCTGGCCAACAGCGTCTGGGAGGGGGCCCTGGACGGCTATGCGAAGCCGGGGCCTGATGCCTGCAGGTGAGTGGAGGGGGCCCTGAGGCCGGCCAGGAAGGCAGACCGGTGTGCCTGTGTGGGGAGGGAGGACTGGGGACGGCGCCAAGTGGCCGTGACAGTGCGGGAAGGGTTAAAACTGGCCGTTGCTGTGCTGGCCCCCTTGGGGTCCCCTTCCCCCTCCCTGCCTGTCACTCAGGCGCCTCCCAACAACAGGCCCTTTCTGAGTCGTTATCGGCAGGTCAGGGGGCCAGCAGGAGGCGCATGCGCAGGGCCCTATCTGCACCGTGGTGCGAAGGCCCGAGCCTGAGCTCCGAGATGGGGAGAATGGGTGGCAGATAGGGCTGCGGTGGGCCCCCAGCGCAGGCCCCCACCCCTTTGTTCTAGCAGGGCCAGATAAGCTGCCGCGCGAGCCCTGCCTGGAGTCTGCCTGCCCCCGCGGCCCCTACATCCCTGCCGTCCCCAGGGGCCTCCCTTCAGCGGTCCTTCCTTTCAGCTTCTTCCAGCTTCTTCCACACCCTCTGCCTGCCCACGGGCCCTCTGCCTGCCCACGGGCCCTCTGCACTGCCCACGGGCCCTCTGCCTGCCCTCCTCCCTTGGGCTGCCCTTCTCCCCGCCCTGGCCCTTTCTCCCGCTGTCCCTTCCCTGCTCTCCTCGCGGGTGTCGTGTCGCTTCCTGCCCACCGGCCCGGCCTGGCCCTTCCTCACGCACAGCTCGATGCACCTGTGCTTTCAGGGAGGAGAAGGAGCGCTGGATACGGGCCAAGTACGAACAGAAGCTATTCCTGGCCCCGCTGCCGAGCTCGGATGTGCCGCTGGGGCAGCAGCTGCTCCGGGCCGTGGTGGAGGACGACCTGCGGCTGCTGGTGATGCTTCTGGCGCACGGGTCCAAGGAGGAGGTGAACGAGACCTACGGGGACGGGGACGGGCGCACGGCCCTGCACCTGTCCAGCGCCATGGCCAACGTCGTCTTCACCCAGCTGCTCATCTGGGTGAGTCCGGGCCCCCTGCGCCCCCCCCCACCCCAGCCTCGCCCTTGCTTGCGGGCCCCGCTGCCCTGCCCTGCTGACGCCCTCCTCACCTCGGCCCTCGGAAGGCCACCTCCCCTTCCTCCCCGAGCACCCACCTCTCCCGCCCCGTCGTGCCAGCTGTGGCAATGTGCTTCCCTCCGCAGTACGGGGTGGACGTGAGGAGCCGCGACGCCCGGGGCCTGACTCCGCTGGCCTACGCGCGCCGGGCGGGCAGCCAGGAGTGTGCGGACATCCTGATCCAGCACGGCTGCCCCGGGGAGGGCTGCGGCCTGACGCCCACCCCCGGCCGGGAGCCGGCCAACGGCGCCAACGCCTCTGCTGAGCTGCACCGAAGCCCCAGCCTCCTCTGAGGCCCGGCGAGAGGGCGGGAGGACTCCATGCCCTGGGGACGACGTGCCCTGGGGACGACGCTCGTGCCTGCAGGCCCTGGGGAGCAAAGGCACAGGGACCGCGGACACGGGACACGCAGGAAGGGAGACGGAGAGGAGGCAGGGGACCAGCTGCCTGGGGGAAGACGGGTCAGAGGAGAGGCCCGGGGTTCGAACTGCAGCAGCGAGGGAGGGGAGGGGCCCCGCCTTCCGCCCTGCGGTGCCGCTGAGGAGGGGCAGGACCCTTGGAGGTGCCTGTGAGGAGAGGGGAGCAGGGCCTCTCCCTCCTCCAGATTCCTGCCCTCTCATCCCAGCCCCGCAAGAACTTGCACCCCAGAGTGGAGCCTGGACAGGGCACGGGCGGGGGTGCTGGGGGAAGACACGGGGGTGATCTGTGAGTCCCATGTAAATGTGTACATTGGAATATTTATGTTTGTGTACATACCTGGCGTGTGTGTATGACGAGCCAATAAACCAGACCGTGTGCGGCCTTGCTTTCTCCTTTCTCTCTCTCTCTGCCCGCCCCTGCATGCCCTCCCCTCACCTCTTGGTCCGGCTCCTCGCCTCCGCTCTGTGCTCCGGGGTGTCTCCCCTCGCGTTCAGTCCGAGGCCCGTCCGTCCGTCCTTCCTTCCTTCCCCACCGTCCTCGTGTGCCTCTCCCGCCCCCTCCCGCCAGGGTTGGCGCAGCTGAGCCCGTCCGCAGCACTGGCGGCGGACCCACACAGGAGGCCGTGCGGAGCTCTGGGAGCTTCCTGCCGCCTTCTCTGCTCACACCCCACCCCAAAGCCTTCCCAGCTCGTCTCCTTTTCGTCAACATTCTATTTAGTGACCTCCTGCCGTGCCCTGTATGCCCCCAGTTCACCCGCAGGGCGGGCGTGAGCACTGCCCCCTCCCTGAGCGTCTGGGAGCCGGCCCACGGTGCCAGGCGCACGGGGGAGCGCTGAGGGTGCCACGGGGGGCGACTGGGTGCTCGCTAGGGCCGCGCTTCCCTCTGGACTCACGCCCGGGCTTTGCTTTTGAGGAAAGGGAGGGGAGGCAGTAGGGCCCTGGGGGCAGAGTCCAGCACCCCCGCTGCTCCCTCCATCCCTTGGTTACACAGAAAGAAGACTGAGGGGAACCCCTCTGTCCCTGCTCTCGAAACATGAGAACCTGCTGAGCGAGGGTCCCTAACTCTGTCCACTAATGCTCCCTAATTTGCTCATGGAATTCCAGCCTCCGTAGCTTCTCCCCCACAGTACACACCCTTCTAGAACCATCACTCTCCCCTGCCTCCCCCGCTTGGCGGCGGGCCTTCTCCACCAGACTCATGTCATGGCAGAAGAGGACGTGGCATCTCGAGCTCCGTAAGCGCTGTGACGGGGAGGAGGGGGGACCACACTGACGCCATAAGGAACAACTGGACGCGTGTCTGGGACACCCAGCAGCGGCTGAGCTGCTGTGTCCTCTGCACAGACGAGACTGATGAGTTCTCGGGCGATGGGGGTGAGCCCCGGCCTGCCCGGGCCCTGACAGGCCGCCGCCGTCTGCCTGGGTGGACGGGCCCGGACACTCCCCGGCCGAACCAGGGCCAAGCGCTTCATCCCCCCTCGCAGCCCAAGTGGGGACGGAGCCTCCACCCCGAGGCCTGCCGAGCCTCCAGAGAGAAGGCGAGAGCAGAGGTGACAAAGCTTTCCTGTTTAATGGGGAGAGGGAAAAGTGCCGTGTCGGGAGCGGGAGGCCGAGGGGCGCGCGCACGGGGCAGGCCCCGGGCTGGGGCGGGCGGACGCGGAGGTAGTTCTCGGGAGAGGAGATGGCGTGGGCCCAGGGGTTCCAAGGAGGCTCGTGAGGGTCCCGGTTCGTCTCTCTGCACGTCCTTGCAGTGCAGGCGGGCAGGGGCCGCTCGCTCCAGGGCGGTGAGAGGGAGCTGGACTCCGGCCGAGGGCCGAGGAAACGGCGTTCCCAGGCCTCTCGCGGGGGCAGACACACAGAGGCAGAGGGACCCACACACGTACAGACTTTACACGGAATAAATAAGGAGCTGTGGCCGGCTCGGCCAGCCATCGCCCGGGGCTCCTCCCGCCACCGTCAGAAGTGACCCGGGAACCTTTCAGGCCCCGGGCATTTGGGCACCCACCCCCTTCCCAGGAGTCCACCACGGTCCCAGCGGCTCCTGGGCAACGAGAGCCCAAGCCCCTGGAGCCCTGGAGCCCCGGTCCTGAGGGTCTGTCTCTGGCGGCAGGCTCAGGGCCGAGCGCCTGCGGCTCCGGCTGCCGGAGAGCGCACCTGGGGCGACGGGCATTGCCGACAGAGCCCCCTCCGGGGCAGAATCACAGCGGTCCCCCTCTGGTCCCAGCACCCTAGCCCGGTCTCAGAGTAGGCTGAGGAGCGGACCCTCTGCCTCCCCAGGTCCTCGGGGGGCCCCCTCAGGGCCGCGCCCCCTGTTCCATCTGCTGGTGCTGGCTCCGCACGGCGAACCTGTTGACGTGCACGGGGATGGGCACGACGATCTTGGGGTTCCGGACGGGCTCCCCGGAGCGGCTGCTGACATTACCAGCCTTGATGCGCTTCCACTTGGCCCTCCGGTTCTGAAACCAGATCTTGACCTGCACCTCACTGAGCTTGAGGGCGTGGGCGATCTGGGAACGCTCTGTCAAGCTCAGGTATTTCTTGCAGTGAAACTCCTTCTCCAACTCCAAAAGCTGTTCACTGGTAAATGCCGTGCGGCGCCTTCGGCTCTTGCCCCCGGGAGCCGTGACCCCCGCTGCCACGGGGGCCGCCTCCTCGGCTCCAGTCCCCAGGCTTCCCTTTAGCTTCGGTTTGGGTCCCAGGAGCACCCCGGGGCCCCCTGCAGAACTGTCCAGGAAGCCGTCGTCCTCGCTGTCACCGCCGGACCCCTCTTCCTCCTGTTCGCTGCCTGCCGGGTCTCTGGCTGGCGCCTCCAGCTTCTCCTCATCTGAGCTGTACGCCTTCCCCTCTGGGGAGTGGCACCGACGGGCAGGGCAGGGAGGCGGCGGGGGAGGCAGGTTGGAGGAGGCGCGTGGAACCGTGACCAGGCGTGGCCAGAACGGCGGCAGGAGGAGGCAGGTGCGGAGCGGAGGAGGTGCGGAGAGAGGAGAAAGCACATCCAGGGTGAGGGGGTGGGGGAGAGGTTCAGGGAAGACAAAGAAATGGGAAGAGAGGTATTAACCAGCAAAGATCTGACTACGGCAAAGCGCGCAGGCAGCAAGGGTCTGTCAAAGGAGCACCGTTTCCGGCACCGTGTCCCCTCAACATTCCCGCACCCCGCCGCGTGCTGCCCACCCCGCTGCGGGCCCAGCTTTCTCCAGACCCAGACCGCACGGCCCCAGGCTCCAGAGAGAAGCAGAGCGGGTCCCGGCTTGGGGTCCTTTCAGTCACTGTGACACCAGCGAGCAGTACAGGAGAGCTGGCTCTTGCAGGGTGGGGTGGGGTGGGGGCTGTCAGTTCCCGTCGGGGACCCCACCCGGACACGGCGGGAACCGCTAGGTGTTGGCCTTTCTCCTGCCTCCAGAGTCTCGTTTCCGGATGGGAACTTCAGGGTCATCTGATTCCTCATCCTCACCCCTAACCCCAAAATCTCGGTCCAAGAAATATTATCCAAGGGCCTGGGAGTCAGGTTCCCTTACCGCACCCCCTTCGCAGTTCGCCTTAACCACTCGTCCAGCCCACAGTCGGGACCCCTCCCTGCCACATGCCCCCATGTCAGTGACCAGAGTTTTCCTCAATCACTTAGTCCCCTCCTGCCCCTTCTGTCCCTTGTCCTCATTTAAAAACAATGTCATCGCTTCCCACATTCCCACATCCCCAGCTAAGGTTGCCGAGAAGCACAACTAGCCGCTTTCTGCTCAAGTGCAGAATCCCGAGGACCCTGAGCTTGATGTCGGCTGGGAACGCGGAGGGAACACGGGAAGAAATAGAAATGCGACGAGGGAAACTATAGATGATGAAAAATTTTTTGACTCATTTAGTAGATTAGTACTGATTATTAGTAATCACAGCCATATAAACAATTTAACCCATACATAATTCTGAAATTTAATTCAACCGTTGGTTTTATTCTTCCTATCCACTGATATTTTAATTCTTCTTCTAACTGCAAATAATACATTACAAATGTTTTCAGTGTTTAAGTTTTACAAAATCTCTTGTTTTCCGCCTAAAGGGCCAATAGTGAACAACAACAAAATCAAAAGAAAACCAGCCAATAGGGAGGAAGAGGAAATGAATAATCCATAAACTAATAGCTCCTCACCCACAGAGTTCACTGCGTAAAGGCGGGGGGGGGGGGCTTCACAGATGTGGGAGTGCGTGTGTGTGCCCACGCCAACCACACGTCACATGCACACCTACACGCACACTCCGAGGCTGAGAGTACAACCGGAAGTCAGACAAGGGAGCAGTGAAACGTTTTACCTGGAAAAAGGTGTGCACGCGTGCACACGGCTCCAGCACCCCCAGCACCCAGAGCGTGCCGGCCGCGCCCCTCTGACTCCCCATCTGCCCTCACGCCAGCACAAACTTCCCGGGGCCTCCGGGCCGGCCCAGGAACTCGCAGTCCCCTTCTCCACTTCCCCAGAGGTGACCGTTCCCCCACCGGTGCCATCTGCGCCTGTTCCTTCTCCCCCCCGAGAGCCACACCGCCAGTACCCTTAGGGGCCAGAAGCCAGCCCATACCCGCATGGCCCACCTCCGTCTCGGTCGGCTTCTTCACCCCCCGGGGGTGTCTCTACCCCCAGGCCCGTGCCTCTCCTCCCCGCAGAGCTTGGTCCCTCATCTAACCTTCCCAAGACGCAGGTGGCACACCCCAGGTCCGGCTCACCCCGCCCTCTTACATGACCCTTGTTCGTAGCTTTTCACCAGCAGACGGTCTTCACTCTCTCCCCGACGGCCGGCCACGCTTCCGGAGCACCAGCCCTGAGTACCGCCACAAGGCGCCCCTCCTCACGACCCCATCTCTCACCGCCCCGTGCGCTCTCCCTTCCCTCGTCCCTCGTCCCCAGCCCAGTCCGCTGTACCTTCTGCAAGAGGCACATCTTGCTTTCCTCCATTTCACGAACAGTTCCCCACATCTTCAGTTTTTCCCCTTCCAGAATGCAAACCTGACGTGCCTCAAACTCAACCCTTTCTCCCAGGCCAGTTTAAGCCAAACCTCCGCTCCCTCTCACAACCAATCAGCAAGTCCTGGCAGTGTTGCTGCCTGTGACGCACACCCGGACCCTGACCGACCTCTTCTGACCACCTCCCCTGCATCCAGCTGTCTAGGTCCCCATCACCCCCCCCCCCAGTCTGTCTGCACTTTCTCCCAGCTGTTGCCCTGCTCTGCCCCGCCCCCAGGTTCTTCTTTCCGGAACAGATCCACGCGCATCACCTGGAGTTTCCGCCGGCTCACTTCCCATCTCTGTTGCTATCACCCTTTTAAAAATAAAACTCCCAGTATGCCCTTCACTCTGCTTTATTTGTTGCTATAGTACATATCGCCAACCATATTCATTTTTTAAAAATATTTTATTTATTTATTTTTAGAGAGAGGAGAAGGGAGGGAAAAAGAGGGGGAGAGAAACATCAATGTGTGATTGCCTCTCACATGCCCCCCCCCCCATTGGACACCTGGCCTGCAACCCAGGCACGTGCCCTGACCAGGAATAGAACTGGTGACTCTTTGGTTCACAGCCCGGCACTCAATCTGAGCCACACCAGACAGAGTAATTTTTAAAATTGGTTCTCTCTTCCTATTAGAATATAAACTCCACGAAGGTAGAGGTTGTTAATATATTTTTTCACAGCTGTACCTTCAGCATCTAGAAAATTGCCAGTACAAAGTAGGCACTCAATAAGAATGTGTTGACTAAATAAACTATTCCCAAACTCGCTCCCCCTCTGTCCTTCGCTTCCCGAGCCTCTCCTAAGGCAGCCCCCACGCCCCCCACCCCAGCCCCAGGGCCCACAAGACACCCTCTTCAAGCACACTACCCCGCCCCCTTCCCCGACGCCTGCAGGCCTCAGGCAGCTGCAGAGAACCCCACGTGGCGCGGGGACCTGGAGGCTCTCACGCTAAAAGAAATGAAGGACAATCTCCAACATCGTCACTAAACCCTCTCACTTTCAATTTCTAAGACATGGTTTGTGGTAAATAATAATAAAAGACAACAAAACCTTGTAAAAACTCTGTCCAATATTATGTCTTAAATGGCTGCTAAAAAGGCAGAAACTGGATTTCAGATCTTGAAGGATGAAATCATTTAGTACGGCTCTGAGTACCCAAGGGGCATCCAATAAATCTAAACTGATGATGATGGAGATGAGGCTCCCAGGTTCCTTGATCTGGCAGGGCCCTCCCGAGACCCCATCATCCATCCCCCTGCCTGCAGACAGATCCCATAAAACCAAGCCCCCACAAGTGTGCCACCCTCCGTGCTGCTTTTAAAGCCAGACAAGAAGCACAAGTTCACAACCTCTCCGGGTTGCTTGATCCCAGCGGGGTGCTGAGCAGTAGGGGCAAGACACTGAGGGCTCTGATAAGCAGCTCTTAGAAGGAGAGGGGGTGGGGCAGAGAAGGAGGCAACCGAGAAGGGAGAACACAGCCACAGGAGTCTGGGACGACAGTACAACTGCGGAGCGGTGGGAGCGGGAGGAAAACAGGCAGAAACAGGGGCGGGACAAGAAAGAAGCAGGGTAGGGCCCCGGCTGGTGCGGCTCAGCGGACTGAGCACCTGCCTACAAACCAAAGGGTCCTCGGTTTGATTCCCGATCAGGGCACAGGCCTGGGTTGCGGGCCAGGCCCCCAGTAGGTGGGCATGTGAGAGGCAACCGCACGCCGATGTTTCTCTCCCTCTCTTTCTTTCTCCCTCCCTTCCCCTCTCTCTAAAAATAAACAAATAAAATCTTTAAAAAAAAGAAATAGGGTAGACACAGTGGCAGGAGAATTAAACGATGAGTCAGAGAAACTGAAAGGGCTAAAAAGTTTAGAGAAGGAAGAGAAAATAGCAAAAAGCTTTTCCCTTTTTTTTTTTTACTTTTTACTCACCTCTCTTACCCAAACGTGGGTGCAGCTGGAGCGCAGCGAAACACTGCGGCCCCGCCAAGCCCTCCTCGCTGCATCGAAAGCGGAGCGTGTTAACAGGTAAGGCCCGCGGTGACAGAAACCTGCTCAGGAGAACTGGCGGAGCCACGGAGTAGCCCGGTCGTTCACACTGTCGCGGCCCTGAGACCGCTTACTGTTTTCCATGACTCAGCTGAGACACAAACGCTAGCTATTTCTTTTAACCCAATTTATAGTGAGTGTTAATGGTAAATATAATCAAATAGAGCACAATGAAAACGGCATGCAGAAAAATGTGTTGGCTAAAAATTGACAGAATCAAATCGTTTTGATAAAATTTCTATTTGAAAAATTTGATTTAGAATCATTGAACTTGTTAGATCTAATGTCCATGAACGCAGAGCATGCAGATGCTATAAATGGTCGATGTGAACAACAAAAAAAACTTGATTAACACAACTTTATTAAACATTGACATGGGAAATGATGATTCTGATGAGAATAATTTCAGCAAAAGGAAAACTTTAAATTAGAAAGGATTTCACTGGGCTAGGCAGGTAAGCCAGACAGACAGAAAGGTTCTGTCCTTTGTGTGCGAAAACGTTACTACTGGCAACAAGAGAGTATATTGCATTTTCAACTTGTTCCCTATGGGTAAGTCTCAAGTCTTTGAAAAACATTTGGTGTCTGTCCAGGGGAATAACTGTGGGGCGGACCAGTTAGTAGGCTACGTCCAGAGTTCATGGGAGTTCTGCTGGCGGATGCTGTTATCCCGAGAGCCAGAAGTCACAAGGTTTGAACCACGAGGACTGGTACAACCCGTGTGTGGCGCGGCATCGGTCCCGCCTCAGAGAGCAGCACGCAGGCTGCCGCACGCCCTTGCACGGGGCCCTCCTGCCCCAAGGAAGGGAAGCAGCTCCAGGGATAGAGAAGCCCCATCTCGGTAATGGGTCCAGTCAAGCTGGAGAAGACATCAAGGTCAAAGAACCCATGGCAGGTACTTTCCAGTAGAAACAGCATCAACAAATCAACAAACTAGGAGTGCTGGCGAGGGTGCGGGGAAAGGGAGCGGAACCCCTTTGCACCGTGGGTGGGACTGCACACTGGTGCAGCCACCGTGGAAAGCAGTATGAAGACACCTCAAAAAATGAAAAATGGATTTGCCTTTCGACCCAGCAGTCCTACTTTTGGGAATATATCCAAAGAAGCCCAAAACACTAATCTGAAAGAACATGAGCACCCCTATGTTTACTGCAGCGTTATTTACAATCGCCAAGCTACCAAAGCAGCCCGAGTGTCCGTCAGTAGATGAGTGGACAGGACAACGACGGGGCACTCACACAATGGAGGACTACTCGGCTGTAGAAAAACTTTACCCCTTGCGGCAGCATGGATGGACCTGGAGAACATCATGCCAAGTGAAATAAGCCAGCCAGAGAAGGACAAACGCCACATGATCTCACTCCTAGGTGGGATCTGATGACCACACTGAACTAACAAGCAAAACAGAGACAGACTCATGGACGGAGGGCAGATGACGGCGAGCGGGCGGGGAGGTTAGCGGGTGGAGGGACGGAGCAGAAAGGACGCACTGACGTGGACGACAGTGTGGTGACTGCAGTGGGGAGGGGGATGTAAGGGGTTAAGTGCTAATGGAAAAAACGCAATTTTTTTAAAAAGGGAAGAACCAGCACCAGGCTTGCGCTGTCTAGGGGAGTCGCACAGCCGTGGTCACTAAGGCCGGTGGGCCTCAGGCGCGGCGCAGAAACCCACCCGGGGGGTCAGACCCGTTTCAGACCCCGGGAGCCGCGGGAGCTCGCAGGCCCCTGTGCTGTCCCTCCGCCGCCCTGCTGTTCTAGCTCTTGGTCACACCTCAGCACTCGCTGCCTTCAGAACTCGCCCAACCCTGTACTCGCTGCGTTTCGGGGAGACAAGAAATGTTTCGGCACTCGGCACGTGCTCAGACCCCGTCGCACTCGCTAGAACTGGTGCGAGTCGCGACGCCGTCCCACAAGAGAGAATGCCTCACCACCCCTCGCCTGCTCGGTGCCCATCGGTTTCGGCACTCGTCACGAGGTCCGGGACAAACCGACGACGGGCAGGGAGGCACCACTGCGTGTGAACTCAACGGTCTTTACCACCCACCCACCGAAGAGAAGCCCCCCCAGTTCGCTGGGCTCCGACTCCCCTTCCCTCTGCTTCCCGGACGACTCTGGCACCCCCCACCCGCCCGCACGACGCCCCGTCTCCTGGTCCTACAGACCAGGCCCACTCCCCAGCTTCCCGAGTACAGGGCCAGTGGGGCGGGGTGTCAAAAGGTGGGGAGAAAGCCAGGTCATCCTTTGAAAGAGGGGTGTGTTCGCCACCACTCTCATTTCTAAGTCCTCATCCCATCGTCAGAATTACAGCTCTGTGCGGAGTTGCAGCTCTGTTCTTTCCAAAGACAGTGCTTCCTCCCGTGGTCTACAGCAACTAGCTCCCCTCAGTTTGCTTTCCCCCCATGGCCCCACTTCCGTCCCCTGTGCTCTGACTCCCCCCTACAGTGTGGGCGCCGCGAGGAAAACTCGTTCTCCCCCCCTTGCTCTATTCTCCCCTGGACGCCGCAGCACCCCCGACCCAGAGGGCCGTGAGAATTCCCTCCACGCCTGGACCACCCAGAGCCCCTCCCGCCTTCCTGGCAAGTTCAGGGCCAACCCCCACCCCTGCCCCCCGAGCTCGGGGCTCCTCTGACAGCGCACTGACGTTACCCACTGCCAAGCGCACCTCAGCTTTCCAAAACACTTCCACGTGCATTATTGCATCTCCAGGCGGCTCACTGAAGTGGAGTAGAGCCCATTATTAGTAGTGATGGGAGGCTGCTAACCTTACTTTCAGGTGAAAACGCTGAGTTTCAGAACGATGAGACGGTTTCCCTAAGTCACACAGCGAGGGACAGAGCCACGTCTAAAACCTGGGTCTCCTGCATCCCTGGTCGGCGCCCTTCCGCCCTCCCCCCCCACCGCGTGAACATCTCCTCCCCCTCCCGCTCCAAGGGGCAGCCCTCTCCCCACGCGCCTCACCCGGTGAGCAACCCTCCTGTTAGGTCCAGCTCTAGTGAGCAGACCTATGCCTTTCGCTTATGGCCGAGGGGCTTTCCCTTAAGACCCCCAGGGGAGCTCCTTCAAACCGCCACGGGAGGGGCCTCACTCGCCAGACCTCGCCGCCGCCGCTGCCCTTCACCAGGCTATTCCTCTCACTCCCCAGAACAAGACCCCCATCAGGTCTTTCTCGCATCTTTTCTGGCATGGTTGGTTTGGTGATGTACTCTTACCGGTCAACATGCCTCTCACTTAGAAATGTATTTTCTCATTCAAAAAATAATACTGCCAAACTCCGGAAACAGCTTGGTTATAATGTCAGTTTTCTCTAGCTTCCAGTTTGCAACTGCCTCCCGCACCCCTCAAGTGCGGCCCTTTCGGGCCCAGGAATCAGCCTCGTGGAGGAACAGAGATGTCCCACTATCCCCATCCGTCTCCCCCCCCATTACAGAAGAGTCCTCGGGCCTCCCTCCCGCATCTCCCCTGTCACCCCCAGGGCGCCTTATCTGGGGGAAGGCTTTCCTTGGTGATACCGGTGATACCGAAAGGGAGGTGAAGGCAGGTTCTTTTCCTCCTTTTTGGTTGAGATGCATATCTGTTTGGGGTTTGTGTTTGTCAGCCGAGAGTCCCTTCCCCCTTTGTTCCCTCCCAGCACCCCCTCCTCTGGGCACTGCTTCTCTTTCAGTACTGGGACAGCGGGACTGTCAATCACATCCGTTTCCCCCGCCCCACCCCGTGACCACGTAGGCATGGGACCCAGATCTGACCAGTCCTAACCTCCCATCTCCCCGCGCACCTGACTCAAGCCAGGTAACCAGCCATCCTAGGATTTTACAGGCGCTAGAATCCGCTGGGCACCCAGCCTAGGACTATGGAAATTTGGGCCGGCCCAGGCTCATGCCACCCCCCTCCCGCTGCCTCCCTTAAGGGGAGAGAGCAGGTGAGGACGGGGAGAGGAGGCGAAGTGAGAGCGAGAAGAAAAGACCTAATGACGCAGCTTGCCTTCCTGTGCTCTGCAGTCACGTGGATCGGTGACTATCCGTGTCGGCTTGTATTAGACTTGAGCCACTGTCACCAGCAGCTCAGAGCTCTGACTACACACAACACTGTACCTAGAAGTGACAATAGTCACATGGCTCCAGGGAAAGCGGGCATCCGCTCCTCACTCCGCAGCTCTCCCATCCAAGATAATCTTTTCACATCGCCTGAGAGTATTCGTAATAACGCCACCTAAGGTCCGACCAGTCTGAAGTTCATTTGAACTTTTAAGAACTCTGCTTGATCAATCTGAGTATGAATTATTTTAGTTCAAAGGCTTTGCTCCTAACACCAAGTTGAGATCAGGCATACGAGGGAACAGGAGTTTTGATGAAGGAAACAAGGAGGGTCTTTTTTTTGAACGGGCGGAAAGGAAGGGCAGGCCCCGGGGGCACAGCAGAGGAGCTCCGGCAGCTCTGGGGTCTAGAAAAGAGGCCAAAGTGCGCGGCACGAAACCAAGTGAAGGGAGAAGACGACTGAGTGATTCTGATTCTGGGGATATATCTGAGGAAACCAAAAACACCAATTCAAAAAATACACATGCACCCCTACGTGCACTGCAGCATTATTTACCATCGCCAAGATGTGGAAGCAGCCCCAGTGCCCACCAGCGGATGAGCAGACAAAACAGCTGTGGTACATTTACACAATGGAATACTACTCGGCCACAAAAAAGGAAATCTTACTTTTTGCGACAGTGAGATAAGCCAGTCAGAGGAAGACAAGTATCACATGATCTCACTTATATGCGGAATCTAATTAACAGACTGAACTAGCAAACAAAATAGAAACAGACTCACAGACACAGAGAACAGACTGACAGCTGTCAGAGGGGGAGGGACTGGGGGCTGGGTTAAAAGGCGAAGAAGGGATTTAGCAAAAACAAAAACAAACCAAACCCGCAGACACAGACAGCAGCACGGGGAGGACCCGAGGGAAAGGAGACCGGGGGGTGGGGGGAGGTGGGGGAAAGGAAAGTGGGGAGTAGTGGT